TGTCTGTGAACACGTCCAAACCACCACTGGGATTCAAGATCAGGAAAGTAGACATCGGTCACCCCAGTGGCAATATGGACCTGGCATCAGAGTTTCTAGGGTTGCTGCAGATCATTCTTGCAACATACCCCAGACTGTGTCTGCAGATGAGTACCTGGAGCTCAGGCAGCGGATTCGGGTGGTGCTTTGGAGTGGAGCCCTCCAGGTTGCTGGTATGTACAAGGGAAATGCGATCCAACCCCAGGGGAACGGGCCAGGGACCAACAGAAGTTACGGATGCCATTCCTGGGAGAGCGACCCCAGGAGCAATGGGTGACTGAGTTGGACAGGCTGGTCCAGCAGGAGATAGAGCTGGACAACCAATAATGGGCTCTGCCATGGTACGCAGAGCAGAAATATTTAGGGGTGACAACAGAATGCTCTCCCGAGGGATATGACTTTGGTGGCCCTGGATTACTGTGGGAGAGCCTTACAGATCATTTTGTGTTTGGCAATGAGAACCTACCCTTGAACACCTGCGGGAAGACAGACAGGCTATGTTCAGTCTCACAGGGGTCTCAGAGCTTGAACCAGATCTGGAATACCTGCTGATGAAAGAACAGCATCTGGAAAGGGCATACAGGCAACTGCGAAAACATGTTCAGCAGCATGCCCAAGAATCGGCAGCGGACATTCCAGAGATTGCTATCCCCAAACCTGAAGTGCAGACAAAGAGGCAGAGCTCTGCCAGCTTCTGCCCAGAACTGGCAACATCTTCTGGGTTTCACGGACAGGAGATGGTGAACCCCTAGCCCCAGACACCAGTTCCAGAGACTGGGGATTTGATAGACTTCTCTGCTGAGGAAAAACAACCTGGTGAGTCTCCAGAAGAGCTTGCAACAGGACCAAATATTGTTGAACTCTGCCCAGCACTGGTAACATCTTCTGGGTTCCACAGACAGGAGATGGTGAACCCCTATCCCCAGACACCAGTTCCAGAGACTGGGGATTTGATTTTCTCTGCTGAGTAACCAGCCGGTGCACCTCCAGCAGAAGACCTGGCATCAGGGTATGGCGCTGTTGACCTCTGCTCACAATCAACACCGCAGGAGCTACAGGAAGAGGATGCGATCTGCACCTCACAACTGCAGCTTGAGCTGATGTCCGTGGATGGAACTTCGGTCTCCACTGACAACCCCAGAAAAGGGTCTGGCATTGGGACAGGATGATGTCAGCCTTACTTTGCGAACACTGGGGGATGTCCATCAAGTCAAAGTGGATGAGACTACAGTTACCACCTGGATACCCCAGGGATGCTGGGCAGTCAGCCCAGACCCCCAACAGCATGATTGAGTCGGCCCAGCCACTGTCTTCTCTCCAGCGGCTGAGGACTTCAGGGAGAAAGACCAACCCATACCTCTCCCCAGCGGCGGGTATGTTCTACGAGAGAGGCAGAGGTTGGCTGGGTGAGTAATGCTTTGTCTGGGACCACTTGCTTGGGGTACTGTGTGGGTGCAGGCATTGGGGGACTGGAAGTACAAACTAACTTCAGAGTCAACCCGTCTGGGGTTTCCTCCTGCGTTAGTCTCCTGCCAACAGGGGAGATATGTGACGGGAGTCACTTTGGGTGGGGGCCCATGGACCCCAGCTCACTTTAGAGAGGTGGGGTGACCCCTGTCTCAGCTCCCCATATCCCTATTATGTGTAAGTCACCCTGTGCCTGTTAGGGGTACAGGGTGATCTGTCCTAACATTGGGGTGGGGGGTTGTTGATCGTTTAATGCCATGTGGTTGCATCCCATTGTTCTATTGTGTTCTTTGGAGCAAACTATTATGGGATGTATGTGTTTATGTGTATTAGCTTAGTGGGGGGTGCCTCCAGCAGCCTTCCCTCCTGATGGGACTGTCTGCTGGTGTGAAGTTTGAATACCTGTGTTTCTCTTGTTGCCCAGCCCTGTGCCATTATGCAGGGAGTAGGGATTGCCCCGGTATAAAAAGCCAGTTCGAGTTTTAAATAAAGAGTTCCATGTTCAGACAGATTGGCGTCATCTAGTCTTCTTTGGTCAGCTGTGGTGTCTGTGGTCGGTGTTCAGACAGGGAAGCGGTATTATAACGGAAGTACTTAAGCACACACTGGGTCGGTTCCATTACAGACATTACAGAAGTAGGAGGGGCAAGGACATCGCTGCATGTTGAAATGCGCTTTTTTTTTATATATTAGAGAATATATGAAAAATATTTAAATATATATTTTTTAAATACATTCTTCAGATTTTTTTTTTAACATATAAAAAAATCATTTTAACATATTTTTACATATACTTGTAAATGCATTCCAAAAATGTAGATATGTATTTTTAAAGACATACAGTATACTTCAAAATGTATTTTTAAAAATATTTTGTAATAAAAATGCATGTTAACATACATTGTGTGTATATATATATATATATATATATGTGTGTAATATATTGAATATGGTCAAAATTGTAGTATTTCAAATATATTTTTCTTCCATGTGTGACAGCCCATAAGAACCTTAGCCCATGGCTGGAAGAGGTCACCACACACCACGGGAACTGGGCCAAGCCGCACATATCATGCCCCTCACCACACCTTATATCTAACTACCAAAAGGACACAATGGGGTGGTGGGAGCACAGGTAAACTATGCCACCCCAGCACCAACAGGCCGCAACAAGACTGCAGGGGTCTGCACGCCCAGTGAGGGGCCCAGAAAGGGAAGGTGAATACAGCATTCAGCATATATGCACTGCGTCCTGGGGGTAATGTGGGGGCCAAGCAGACAAACACAAAGGTCGGGGGGGGGAGCCACACTGCATCCGGGGAGGGAAGGGGGGAATATACTTACTAATCCAGCAGAGCATGCGGGTAAGGCTCCCATGACAGATTCTCCTCCCCATCAAAGTGGGGGGCTGTCAGCCAGGTTAACACTGATAGAGACTTTGGTACCCAGTTATACATGTCCCCACCAGAAGTTTAAACTCGCTGGCACTCCTGATTCAGGATGGGACTTTGTCGCGGCCGACTCAGTGCTTAGCTAAAAGTCTGCCCGCTCTCATTGGCCAGGCTAGGGTGAACACTGGATTTATATTATCCAGCTCTGCTGTTGACTGAAAATCTCCACAAGAAAAAGATAAAATGGAAAAAGGGCTATGGAACCAGAGGTCTCGGCGGGAAACTAGATCCTTACTCTAACACCAGGCAAAAAAAACGGATTACCTATAGCAGACAGGGGTTTTACATGAGCTAGAAATCCCATAGGCAGTGACAAGTTTTTTTCTGCCTAGTGTACTACTCCTGTAGGTGGCGCTGTAACTATGGCAGGAATCAGAAGAGCTGCAGCTATAAGAGAAATATTATTTATTGTTGTAAAAACAATACACACTTTATAAAAAAACAATTCTGTGGGGGACCGGAAGGGGGGGGGGGGGGAGGGGGAAGGGGTGTTTGGAAAAAAAAAAAACAGTCCTGTCCCCCAACACCAATTTCTTCATTTGGGGGAGACACGAATAGGAGCCACAGAAAAATGTTGAAGTCTTATGTGTTCCCTGTGAGAGTACATACAGGCTGCTTGCTCCAGCCAATCCTGTACGTAAGCGAAGGGTCTTCATGCACTCACTGGCCAAGCTGGGGTTACTACTTGGATCTATGTTATCCAGCCTGTTGCCCATCATGGCTGTTAATGATCGGTCAGAAAAAAAAAAAAATCTAAGCAACCCTTCTAAAAAGAGAGCAACTTGGGGTCCCAAGCAGGGCGCCAGGTCTTTAACACTAGAAAAAACTGAACTGCCTATAGCAGCTAGTGGGTTTGGCCACTATTTTTTTCTTGCTAGTGTCCTACTCCTGAAGGTGGTGTTATAAACTCTACGGTCAAGATTATTGCGGAGCTGTGTCCTTCAATGAACGTAAGAAATTACTTTGTTATATGTTTACAGAACTTAAAATAAGGATGTGCACAACATAAACATTGGTAGAGTTAAAACAAGTTGTATTTTATCATTTTATTGATGGCATTTATCCAATGGTTTTACATGTTAAACTGTTATACTGTAATAAACATGGCTTTAATATTAAACTTACTAATTATCCAAAGTCACCACAGTCCATTTGTGTAAATATAAAAATATATACTTAATATTTTGTACAATACTGGTTTTTGGTCCAAAAACAAAAATGGATCAGAAAAGCCAATAACCTAATACCTTAAAGAACTTCCAATTTTCTTTAAAGACTATTTCAATGGAATTAGGCAACTTTGAATAATGAGATTTACATACAATAAAATTTTAGACATATCTAAACAAAAAAAAATTTGCTGCAACACAAAATTAAAAGTTCAAGTTCACAGATTTAGGTTATGTTGAAAAGTATGCAGAAACAAAAATTATATTTACATGAATATCGGAAAGGAAAAATAAAGGCGAACAAGAAGTAGAATAGAAATAGAAAAAGAGAAGAAATGCGTATCTCAGAAGAACTACATATCTAACAAGTCCAGAGCAAAGGACCATCCTTGACTCAATCTTTCGCTATCAGAAAGGTTTTGGTGCACAACACACTCAAAATCACACATACACCAGCACAACGAGGCATAGAAAATCGCTCATCTTCATCATCCTCTACACTATACACAAGTCCTCCCATATAATTACAATTTCAAAGCGTCAGTAAAATAGTGGTGCAGGTGAAAAAAAAAAAAAGTACTTATTATACAAAAGCCATTCGCTGTGCGCTCTATATTTGCTTGTATAGCCAGATCATGCCAAGTCAGGTACTTTAAAGATGACAGATTTGGATATTTTGTGTAATACATTTTCCCATCACCAAATGTGTTATTTGAACTGGGAGGAGAGAGAGGGGTATGTTGGACTTTCAGCTCAAAATGTCCTTGGACAGATCTGACTTCAACTAAACACAGCATGAGGTACACTCCAGTATTTGCACAATGCAGGACACCATTTCTCAGAAGCGACTGATTACTTAGAAGCATCAATTTTTTTATTTTCTTCGTCTAGCAGTCCTAATTTTTCGATTAGAGATTGAAGATGGGGTTGACGCCTTCCCATTACTCCTGTGAAGAGAAAAACAATATAAAGTGGCATACCTTAATGATGTGCAAAGTTATTAGCAGAAGTGAGGGGGCATCTTCTATGGTGACACAGTTGGCAATAAAAGGCCAATAGAGGCTCTAGACCCCTCCAGCCCTACAATAAAGTTATTGTGTCTCCCCCATTGAAAAGATACACACTTGCTGTAAGTATTTCTTTGCTTTCTCGGATTCGGTCTCTTCTACTCTATTAGCAATCACCTGATCTGAGTATCTAATGACCTTTGAGCACGGGGTTCCATGCAAGGCGCTTTTGTAGACCCTGTTCTGGTATACAAACCCCCCCCCCCCCCCCAAAAAAAAACAAAAAACAGCGAGCTTTCCAGGTCTAGAGTCGTTTGCACTCCATCAGCACCTGTCCTGACTCATCTAGGAGTAGGCTGATCAGGCCAAGCACCAGGAACGCATTTACTTTGATTGCCAAGCACTTCTGAATTTCCCACTATCCACTAAAGGCGGCATTACTACTGAAGGACTGAGTGCCGACATCGGTTTGGTGGATTGGTATGCATGCTCCTCGCTTTCCTTCCTGCCATTGCTGAGGAATCATCTTCCTGCTGCCACTTGTGCTTTACATAAGAGCCTCATATTAGTCTGATCTTCAGCCTGTTATTGCTGCACAACTACAGCCCTGGGCAAAAGTTGAGAATGACACAAATATTAAATTTACCTGCAAGGAAACAGGTGCAGTCATCATTGCTTTGCACAAAAATGGATTCACAGGCAAGGATACTGCTACTAAGATTGCACCTAAATCAACCATTTGTTGAATCATCAAGAACTTCAAGGAGAGAGGTTCAATTGTTGTGAAGGCGACTTCAGAGTGCCTAAGAAAGTCCAACAAGTGTCAGGATCATCTCCTAAAGTTGATTTAGCTGCGGGATCAGGGCACCACTAATGCAGAGCTTGCTCAGGAATAGCAGCAGGCAGGTGTGAGTGCATCTGCACAAACAGCGAGGCAAAGACTTTTGGAGGATGGCCTGATGTCAAGAAGGGCAGCAAAAAAGCCACTTCTCTCCAGGAAAAACATCAGGGACAGACTGATATTCTGCAAAAAGTACAGGGATTGGACTGCTGAGGACTAGGGTAAAGTTATTTTCTCTAATGATTCCCCTTTCCTGTTTGTGACATCCGGACAAAATCTGGTCTAGAGAAGAAAAGGTGAGCGCTACCGATCAATCCTGTTTCATGCCAACAGTAAAGCATCCTGGGACCATTCATGTATGGGGTTGCTTCTAAGCCAAGGGAGTGGGCTCACTCACAATTTTGCCTAACACAGCCATGACTAAAGAATGGTACAAAAACATCCTCCAAGAGCAACTTCCCCCATCCATCTAAGAACAGTTTTGGTGACCAACAATGCCTTTTCTAGCATGATGGAACACCTTGCCATAAGGCAAAAGTGATAACTAAGAGGCTTAGGGAACAAAACATTGACATTTTGGGTTCATGGCCAAGAAATTCCCCAGACCTTAATTCTATTGACAACTTGTGGTCAATCCTCAAGAGGCGAGTGAACCAAAAAAACCCCCACAAATTCTGACAAACTCCAAGCATTGATTATACCAGAATGGACTGTCAGGATGTGGCCCAGAAGTTGATTGACAGCATGCCAGGGCGAATTACCAAGGTCTTGAAAAAGAAGGGTCAACACTGCAAATATTGACTTTTTGCATAAATCTAAAATTGTCAATAAAAGCCTTTGACACTTATGAAATGCTTGTAATTATACTTCAGAATACCATAGTAACATCTGACAAAGATCTAAAAACACTGAAGCAACAGACTTTGTGAAAATTAAGATTTTTGTGTAATTCTCAAAACTTTTGGCCAGGGCTGTACAGTGACTGTGGTCACCTCCAACAATACGACCCCCACATGCTACTAGCTGACTTAGGTTTCATGAGTACCCGATGCCTTGTACCACGAAACTAACCACTACGTGGTCACAACATGCCCGATTCTTGATATGTGACAGTCTTCCTGCAACGCACAGGTGCTGCTGGCAGAGATCCCACTAATGTGGCTGATGTCTGCAGCCTGGTTCAATCATGTTGCTCTCTGATCCTAGGATCTCTCACATCTTTCTGAGTCTTCCATAGCTCCGTCAGCTGTGGCCAGCAACTCGGCCCTTTTTAGAGGTTTTTACTACAGTCATGCAAGACCTTATGGCCTAGACCAGTGGTCGGCAAGCCGCGGCTCGCGAGCCACATGCGGCTCTTTACAAACTTAAATGCGGCTCTTCTGTGTGCCGGGCGCCCGCTCCCCTCCCCTCCCTCCTCTCGGGCGGCCGCCTCAAAAGTCAGGACTCTGCAGCTGTCAGGATGTAGGCGGGGCAGCCAGGATGTAGGCGGGGCAGCGTGACGAACTCCTCTCCTCTCACAGTCCGCCCTGAAGACCAGAACGGCGCGGCAACACAGCTAGAGGAACGCGCAGAGTAAAGGTAAGTGAATTGACACAATATGGGGGATGAATTACTATATGGGGGATGAATTACTATATGGGGGGATGAATTACTATATGGGGGGATGAATTACTATATGGGGGGATGAATTACTATATGGGGGGATGAATTTACTATATGGGGGATGTATTTTCAGTTTTAAAAATGTGGCTCTCAAAATAAATTTCAATCGTGGTTTTGGCGAGATTTGGCTCAGTTGAAAAAAAAAAAAGGTTGCCCACCACTGGCCTAGACCAACCCCCCACCCCCAAATTAATTATCTACCTGCGGCCTTGACAGCCTCTGTGACATCTGCTGCAAAAATGGTCGGATTCTGAGCCACAACTATTTAGTAGACAAGATTAGCAAGGGATTACCCCATCCTAGTTTTCTCTTCAAGATAGGCATACCACAAGGATCTTCAAGTACAGGATTCTACACCACCAGCCAGACCTCGGCCATGGACCTGTAATGAATACTGCAGCTAACTCCACGTGTTGCACTACAATCCAAAAGGAGAACCCACAGCAGGATCAAGTGCAGAAAGCAACATTACAGTCCAGGCTTGTATTTTTCACCAGGCAGAATCCAGGTATGGTCCCACAGCCATGCCAAGGAGTCAACCAATCTGAAATGCATGAAGAGATGCAGTAGCTATGGAGCAGTTGAATAGAAAAAAAAAAAATTGTCTTGGATAATTATCAGCAAGAGAGATAGAAGCTTAACTTCTTTTATAGAGGTTTCTCTAAGAGAAGAGGTCCATCACCTTAACCACTTGCTGACGGGTGATAGCCATATGACTGCTTCACTGTGGCTGGCAAGTTCTTGGAGGGCTTCATATGACGTCCTCCCATGATTGCGCTTCCTGCGCAACCCCAGCGGCACGCATCAGGAACTGTGATGGCTGTGTCCATCGGACACAGCGCATCATGACGAGAGAGGGAGAAGGGCCAATTGCAGAGGCTGTTTATATTTGTGATCGCTCTGTCCAATGACGAGCAATCACAACTGTAAACACAGAAGGGTCCTTTCCTCACACCAATACTGAGTGTGAGGAAAGGAGAGAGAATCGGTTTCTAAACTAAGTGTTCTCATCAGTGCCATATCTGTGCTCATCAGTGCCCGCCAGTGAGTGATCATCGATGCCTACTGTGCACATCAGGGAGGGCTCATCAGTGACCATTAGCGAGGGCTCATCACTGCAACGTATTAGTGCACATCAGTTACCATCAGTGCTACTTATTGGTACACATCAGTGCCACCCTATCAGTGGATCCTCATTAGCACCCATCAGTGTACATCAGTGGTAGTTATCAGTGCAGCCTCATCAGTGCCCATTAGTGCAGCCTCATCACTTCACATCAGCACCCATCAGCGCACCCTCGTCAGCACCCAGCAGCACAGCTTCATTAGAGCATACTCATCAGCACCCATCAGTGAAGCCACATCTTCCCCAGTAGGTCTAAAAAAAATGTTTTTCTTGTGATGAGGCCTACCAAATCCTAACCATGACCGACAAGAGAAGCGGGGAGCTCTCAGAGTCTGATTCTGAGTGTGCCCAAAAAAAACGAAAGCGTTCTGTTAAGGAGCAGGCTAGCACAAGAGAAGCAGTGGCATCAACTAGTAGAGAAGTGGCTTTTTCACCAGAAACTGAGAACCTCAAGAAAGGCCAGTTACTAGTGGGGTGTCACCTCAGCCCCAAAGGGTTAAGACCCATGCGGCTCTTCCATATTCTCTTCAAAACCCCCTATGGCTTTCCCCTAACTCTGGAGCAGCTAACATCCCCCTTTTTACTGCCCAGCCAGGAGTCCAGGTGAACACAGAAAATTTTGCCCCCATTGATTTTTTTAATTTCATCTTTACCAATGACTTGCTAAATTCAATTTTGGACCAGTGCAACTCGTATGCCCAACAATTCATAGCCACCAACCCAGATTCAAATTATGCCCATCCCTATGAATGGAAGCAGTTAACAATGGAGGAATTTAGAACCTTTTTTGGGGCTCACATTTAATATGGGACTCAAAAAAAAAAAAAAAAAAAAAAAATCAATCAATTACACTCCTACTGGTCTACCCACCCAATCCATCATATGCCAATTCTCTCATCAGTCATGGCCAGAACAAGATATCTAAGGATCATGTGGTTCCTCCATTGCAACGATAACACCCAGTGCCTTCCTCAAAATGACCCATATGATAAATTCTATAAAATTCAGCCACTCCTTAATTTTTTTCTTTGCCCAATTATTTGTTCCCGGACAAAAATATCTGCGTGGATGAGTCGCTTGTCCCCTTCACTAGCAGGCTGCAATATATTGTGTTTTTGTGCATTAAAAGTAAAAAAAAAGTATTTTTAAAAAAATTTGCGTTTGAAAAATCGCTGCGCAAGTACTTTGTGACAAACTGTAGTACCCACCATTTTAGGGTGTTTGCTGTATAAAAAATATATGTTTGGGGGTTCAAAGTAATTTCCTAGCAAAAAATACTGATTTTTTTTTTCATGTGAACAAAGTGTCAGAAAAGGCTTGATCTTCAGGTGGTTAGAAGAGTGAAAGATGTGTGGCATAAACTTCTAATGATGGGCATAAAATGCCCCCACCTCCCAAAACAACCCCTTTTTAGAAAGTAAACCCCCAAACTATTTGCTGAGAGGCATGTTGAGTCAATAGAAGAATGTATTTTGTTTACCACAAGTTTTTTGGAAAATTAGAATTAAAAACAAAAAAAAAAAAATTTTTCACACAAAATTGGCACTTTAATGATCTATTGCTCACACATGCCATGGGTATATGTGGAATTACACCACAAAATACATTCTGCTACTTCTCCCAAGTATGGAGGTACCATATGCGAGTGACTTTTTGGCAGTCTAGCCAAATACAGAACCCCAAAATCCAATAGGCACCTTAAGGCTTTTAAAGGGCTTTAATTTCCTCATTACACTTTCTGACTACCTATCACAGTTTCGGAGGCCCTGAAATGCCAGGATAGCACCAAACACCTCACTCAAATGATCCCTTTTTGGAAAGTAGACACCCCAAGGGATTTAAAAAGAGGCATGGTAAGTATTTTGCAGATCCAATTTTCTCACAAAGTTTTCAAATATAAAAAAAAGAAAAGAAAAAATAGGTTTTCTTTATTCATTTTCCAAAAACGAGTGGCAACAAAAGAGATCTGCAAAATACTCACCAGGCATCTTATCAAATTCCTTGGGGTTGTCTACTTTCCAAAAAGGGGTTATATATATAATAAGTATTTGATACCCTGTTGATTTTGAATGTTTGCTCACTCACAAAGAAATGATCAGTCTGAAAATCGAATGGTAGGTGTATTGTAACACAGACAGAATTGCAACAAAAAATTCAAAAGAAATGCATGTCTAACAAATTATGCACTGATTTGAATGTTCATGAGGGAAATAAGTATTTGATCCCCTATCATTCAGCAGGATTTCTGGCTACCAGGTGTCTTTCATACAGGTAACAAGCTGAGATTAGAAGCAGTCTCCTAAAGGGAGTTCTGCCAATCTCATTTTGTTACCTGTATAAAAGACACCTGTCCACAGGAGCAATCAAACAATCAGATTCCAAACTTTCCACCATGGCAAAGACCAAAGAGCTGTCCAAGGATGTCAGGGACCAAGATTGTAGGCCTACACAAGGCTGGAATGGGCTACCAAACTATTGCCAAGCAGCTTGGTGAGAAGGTGACAACAGTTGGTGCAATCATTTGCAAATGGAAGAAACGCAAAACAACTGTCAGTCTCCCTAGGTCTGGTGCACCATGCAAGATCTCACCTCATGGAGTGTCAATGATCATGAGAACAGTGAGGAATCATCCCAGAACTACACGTAAGGATCTTGTGAATAATCACCAGGCAGCTGGGACCACAGTCACCAAGAAAACAATTGGTAACACACTGAATATCTGAAGGCAAAGGACTGGTTGAAAGTGTGGTCAGATGAGACCAAAATCAAGCTCTTTGGCATCAACTCAACTTGCTGTGTTTGGAGGAGAAATGCTACCTATGACCCCAAGAACAGCATCCCAACTGTCAAACATGGTGGTGGAAAACATTCTGCTTTGGCGGTGTTTTTCTGCTAAGGGGACAGGACAACTGCACCGGATCAAAAGGGATGATGGATGGGGCAATGTACCGTCAAATCTTGGGTGAGAACCTTCTTCCATCAGCCAGGGCATTGAAAATGGGTCGTGGATGGGTGTTCCAGTATGACAATTACCCACAACACTTGGCCAAGGCAACAAAGGAGTGGCTCAAGAAGCAGCACATTAAGGTCCTAGAGTGGCCTAGCTAGTCTCCAGACCTTAATCCGATTGAAAATCTGTGGAGGAAGCTGAAAGTTCGAGTTGCCAAATGTCAGCCACCAAACCTGCCAAGAGGAGTGGGCCAAAATCCCTCCTGAGATGTGAGCAAATCTGGTGGCCAACAACAGGAAACGTTTGACCTCTGATTGCCACCAAGGGACTTGCCACCAAGTACTAAATCATGTTTTATGAAGGGGATCAAATACTTATTTCCATATATATATATATATATATATATATATATATATATATATATATATATATATATATATATATATATATATATATATATATATATATATATATATATATAGAGCACACAAAGCAATCATATACACTTATTGGGATTTTTTTATTTTTTTTACCAAAAACATGTAGCAGAACACATTTTGGCCTAAATTTATGACCAACTTTGAGTTTACTATATATTCTTTATAGCCGAAAGTAGCAAAAAAAAAATTTTTCTTCAATTTGTTTTTTTATAGTGCGAAAAATAAAAAGTGCACGTGATCAAGTACCACTGAAAGAAAGCTCTATTTGTGTGAAAAAAGGTAAATCTTGTTTGGGTGTTGCATGACCGCGCAATTATCAGTTGAAATAGCGCAGCGTTGAATAGCAAAAAGTAGGCCTGGTCATTAAGGGGGGTAAATACTCAGGATGGCAAGTGGTTAAATTTGTGCAAAAAAAAAAAAACCTACAAAAACAACTCTGGCAGCGAAAGGGATAAAGGATAAGCCAAAGACTCCCCTTCCCTGACAAGCACCCAATCAGTGCGCATTACACTGCAAGGTCTCTCCCCTCCCTGTTAGTCCCTGGCTGAGGTTCTGGAGAAGGCAGGGAAGAGAGGATGAGAAACAGCGCAATGTTAAAATTATTACACGTTTAAGTTGCCATAAAGCCCCTTTTGTTTTTAAAATCCCTAGACATTCCTAAAATCACATCCGATTTAAATACGGTTTTGGTTAAAAGGTATTTAATTTAAACCTGGACAAGTAGATTGTCATGAGGGACAAGTAGTTTGGGACATTGATTTAGTCCCTGGACAAGTAGTCTTTTCAAAAATTTCCACACCCCTTTAAGTGCTGTGCTGCAGAAAAGACATTCATCCTCCTAGGACACTAGCAAAAAATTAAGGCATGATGGTATTAGGACGGGTTACCCCACATTTTTTTTTTTTATTGCCAGTATCCAATCCTCCTGCAGACAGCAGGTTAAAAAGATTCCTTCCCTCGACATACAAGAAGCACTTTTGAAATTAATATACATGGATGTCAAAGTGGGAACATATATGTAGGAATATTATTCTTACCCCATATTAAATGATGCCGCCTGACTAAATCCAAATCCAGGATTTGCAGGCTGTGCTGGATTAGCACCAGAACCGAAAGTAAATACTCCTGTTGAGCCTGCATTACCAAAGTTGAAGTTTGTACCTCCAAACGGAAAAGAACCAGCTGAAACAAAAAAAAAAGAAAAAGAAGAAGTTAGAACTCTTTTGTACAGGTACATAAAACAGCAAGTGTTTCAAAATGATATTTAAAATTATACAGTCCATACAGTTATTGACTAGGAGTAGAAAAAGGTTGCCGAATTACTTAAGACTTATTGAAGACCACCTGAATACACCCATCAAAACTTTCAACATAAGGGAGGAGTTCCTAAGCTGTATCTAACTTTAGTGAGTTTTGGGGGCCCATGTCAAAGCATCTCTCTGATGGATCACATAGGAGATTACTAGTGATGACTGACAATATATACAGCAGCAAAATGTGCAATTTGTTGAACAAGATGACGTGCACAAGGTGTCTGCGATTGCAGAAGAGTGCTGTTGCGGTGCTAAAGCTAAAAAAATGCACGTAGCTGCATTGCAGGCGAGTACAGAAAAAAGCATTTGCAGTGGTGTTGAATGCAGAAGAGCACGTTGTTGCAATGTGAAAATCACTTAATGCATGCTTTTACAGCACAACATGCACTGTTTTGGTGTAGCCAAAAGTTTGCATTGTTGAAGTATTAAAGAGAGCATGTCTGCAGAAGGCTGCATTGTGACTTTAGAAGTACTTGATGGTGCAGTATCAGTAAATGGAAATGTGTGAGTGTGTTTTAGGTGTGAGTGGAGAAAAGCATATAGCTACAGTACTAGCGAGTGCAGAGTGCTCATTGAAGCAGTGTCAGCAACAGGAAAAGAGAATGTCAGTAAGTTAGTAGAAAACTGCACGCTAATGTGGTATTAGGAGTGCTTGTGCAAGCCCAGGTTGAACACTTGTGACAGCAAATGCTATCAGGAGTTCGCTGGGCACTCCACCAGTTTAGAGGGAGGATGGTGCTATCATTCTCACTTACTGAGTTTATGTAACTTACTAATGTTTTTAAACAAAGTAAAATTATATGGAAGATTTATTTATGTACTGAAAGATTTGATGGGTCTGTTTAGGTAGTTTAAAAAGTCCTATTTGTTACAATAGTTATATACAGTTGTGCTCAAAAGTTTCCATACACTGGCAGAAATAGTGAAATTTTGGCATGGATATTGGAAATATGACTGATCATGCCAAAAACTGTCATATTTAAGGATAGTGATCATATTAAGCCATTTATTATCACTTCGTTGTTTGGCTCCTTTTGAACCACTTGTCTACCAGGCACTTTTACCCCCTTCCTGCTCAGACCAATTTTCAGCTTTCAGCGCTCTCATACTTTGAACGACAATTGCATGGTCCTGCACCACTGTACCCAAACTAAATTTTTTTTAGACATATAGACCTTTCTTATGGTAGTATTTGAAAACCACTGGGGTTTTTATTTTTTTCCTAAACTGAAAAAAGACCAAAAAATGTAAAAAAGAATGTAAAAAAATGTAAAAAAGGGAAGGGGAAAAAAATAGAAAAAAAAAAAAAAAAGGTTTCTTCGTTTGTCAGTTTTGTAAAGTAATTTTTCTACGGCACTGATGGGAACTGTTAGGCAGCACTGATTCAACTGACGGGCATTGATTGCCAGCACAGATGGGCACTGATCAGTGTAGATGTCCCCCTACGAAATGCAGCTTACTACCTCTCCTCTTGTGCTGTCAGCGTGAGAAGAGGACTGTCGATTACCGGAATTTCCTATGTACCCGGTGATCAGCTGTGATTTTACACATGGTTAAAGTGACTGGCCCGTTCCTTAGTCATGTAATCAGCTGTGGGTGTGGTTCTGGGAGGACGTCCATGGACGCCCTCCCAGAACTAGCCAACAGCGCTGTAGCCATATTTTGGCTATAGCGCAGTCAGGAACTGGTTAAATCATAACAGAAATCACCCAAATAGCCCTGATCTAAAGTTTACATACCCTGGAATGTTTGACTTTTGGTACAGACACAAAAGATGACAGATTAAAATGGAAATTAAAAGGGTAATTTACCATCTCTGTGGCTTTTCAAATTGCATTTAGTGTCTGTGCATAAAATAGTCAAAGAGCTTGTTCGCGCTCACATGGATGCACGGAACAGGCTAGATACTGAGCCATGGGGAACAGAAAAGTACTGTCAACAGAGTCAAGGTATTCGAACACTGTAGGTATTCGAACACTGTAGGTATTCGAACACTGTAGGTATTGGTTTGGCCTTGCATGTCCTCTAGGGAATAATTGCAGGAAGAGGAACGGCAATTTTTAAGATGGAGTTCCATGAAGTCTGTGAATTAGAAATGCTGGAAGATCTGTGGGCAAAGGCTGAAGAACAGCCATATAAGATTTTTGATGACAGTGGCAGGCAAGTGCCAGAGCATTTATAAACATGGAGAGAAAAATTGCAGAAGGGAAGCACCTAGAACAAGAGCAATGCAACATTTTTCAATACTAAACCAGAGAACGAAAGTTGACAGGAAAAAAAGGCCAGGTTTTTGAGAATGTAAAAGCAGAATGACTTCTCCACCTGTATTAAAGGCAACTTAGTAATCTGCAAACCCTTATACCAGGAAGAAAGACGACATGAGAGGTCAGAACAGAGTCTGAGATGTGTTATGGCAATAAGAAGAAAATTTATTTTCGCAGTGGAGTCAATCTTCCCATGTATTAAAGCCCTAGTGACCCTGAAAAGGGTAAAACAGAGCAGACTGCCTCAAAGGAGTCCGATCACAGTACAACTGTGTACTATGACGTCTTCCCAGAACAAGAGAGCTCCCGCCCATCTGTCATTTCCCAATATGGCGGGCGGTACCCAGTTAATATGAGAGCAGATGCCCCTTCTGCATAACACACACACTCAACCCTTGCAATCCATACATACAAAAAATAAAACCAATAAGTTCAAAAATTAAGTTATGTGTAGTAAAATGGAACAACACAGGAAAAAAGTACAGCAGACATGAAGAAAGGGAGGTGCAAAAATGCACAGAAAGCCAAGACACCAGCTAAAAACTATCAATAATTAGGAAGCAATCCTGCCCGTTGTCAATGCAGTGCAAATATCAACTGGTTTAGTCTCAACTGATGGCCTATAAAAAAGCGTCTCATTACCAAGGTATCACACAAGAAACATCTCATGATGAGTAAAAGCAAAGAGCTCTCTCAAGACCTTTGCAACCTTATTGTAGCAAAACTTACTGATGGCATTGGTTACAGAAGGATTTCTAAACTTTTGAAATGTTCCAGTGAGCAATATTGGCGCCATAATTCGGAAGTGGAAAGAACATCATTTCACCATAAAATTGACAATGGCCAGGAGCTCCTGGCAAGATTTGACAGAGGAGTGAAAAGAATTATCAGAAGAGTGGTCCAAGAGCCAAGGGACCAAAGTCCTCTTTGTAGGGGGGAGGGGGCAGTGTGTGCAAGGAGGGGGCACGAGAGGAGCAGTGTAGTCAGTGAAGGAGTGTATGCAGACAGGATCCCTCACTTGCCACCGCTAAATGTCACTGCCGAGTTTTACATGCAATTACCAACTTTTTTTTTCCCTTCACTACAGCTCTGAGAAGGAGCTGTCATTCACCCCACAGCTAAAGTAAATGAGGGTCACTGGGAATGTCACCGGGTGACTGCACCCCTTTGTTTACTTTAGTGGCGGGGCGAATAACAGCTCCTTCTTGGAGCTATAGTGAAACAAAAAAAAAAAAAAAAAAAAAAAAAGACCCCAGTAACTGCATTTAAAACAGCAATGACATTTTGTGGCGGCAAGTGAGGGAGCTTGTCCGTATACACTGCTCCTCTTCTGCACCCTCCTTGCACACACTGCAAGGAGGTCCCCTATGTGATAGCAATGAAATCATAAATTTAGAAAAAAAAAAAAAAAGTTTATATACGTGATTTTGCACAGAACTTCCGCCCTGTAGCGGTAAATATGCTATAGGGTGAACGGAAAGTGGTTAAAGACCTTGCATATGTTTATTGAACTACTTCAAGCACAAGCCAATCCACCTGTACCCCAGCTCTAATGGGTTTCACTTCATCTGGAGCTCATTTGTAGAAAGAGTGCACTCTACAAAAAAAAAAAGCTCTGGATGGAGTGAAACATGTTAGAGCTTTAAGATACAGTGGGGCAAAAAAGTATTTAGTCAGCCACCAATTGTGCAAGTTCTCCCACTTAAAAAGATGAGAGAGGCCTGTAATTGGCATCATAGGTAGACCTCAACTATGAGAGACAAAATGAGAAACAAAATCCAGACAATCACATTGGCTGATTTGGAAAGAATTTATTTGCAAATTATGGTGGAAAATAAGTATTTGGTCACCTACAAACAAGCAAGATTTCTGGCTCTCACAGACCTGTACCTTCTTCTTTAAGAGGCTCCTCTGTCCTGCACTCATTACCTGTATCAATGGCACCTGTTTGAACTTGTTATCAGTATAAAAGACACCTGTCCACAACCTCAAACAGTCACAATCCAAACTCCACTATGGTGAAGACCAGAGAGCTGTCGAAGGACACCAGAAACAAAATTGTAGACCTGCACCAGGCTGGGAAGACTGAATCTGCAATAGGCAAGCAGCTTGGTGTGAACAAATCAACTGTGGGAGCAATAATTAGAAAATGGAAGACATACAAGACCACTGATAATCTCCCTCGATCTGGGGCTCCACGCAAGATCTCACCCCGTGGGGTCAAAATGATCACAAGAACGGTGAGCAAAAATCCCAGGACCACACGGGGGGACCTAGTGAATGACCTGCAGAGAGCTGGGACCAACGTAACAAAGGCTACCATCAGTAACACACTACGCCGCCAGGGACTCAGATCCTGCAGTGCCAGATGTGTCCCCCTGCTTAAGCCAGTACATGTCCGGGCCCGTCTGAAGTTTGCTAGAGAGCATTTGGATGATCCAGAAGAGGATTGGAAGAATGTCATATGGTCAGATGAATCCAAAATAGAACTGTTTGGTAGAAACACAACTCGTCGTGTTTGGAGGAGAGAGAATGCTGAGTTGCATCCAAAGAACACCATACCTACTGTGAAGCATGGGGTGGCAACATCATGCTTTGGGGCTGTTTCTCCGCAAAGGGACCAGGATGACCGATTCATGTACAGGACAGAATGAATGGGGCCATGTATCGTGAGATTTTGATTGCAAAACTCCCATCAGCAAGGGCATTGAAGATGAAACGTGGCTGGGTCTTCCAACATGACAATGATCCCAAACATACCGCCCGGGCAACTAAGGAGTGGCTTCGTAAGAAGCATTTCAAGGTCCTGGAGTGGCCTAGCCAGTCTCCAGATCTCAACCCCAACAAAGGATATATAACAAAGTATTGAGATGAACTTTTGATATTGACCAAATACTTATTTTCCACCATAATTTGCAAATACATTTTTTCCAAATCAGCCAATGTGATTGTCTGGATTTTTTTTCTCATTTTGTCTCATAGTTGAGGTCTACCTATGATGTCAATTACAGGCCTCTCTCATCTTTTTAAGTGGGAGAACTTGCACAATTGGTGGCTGACTAAATACTTTTTTGCCCCACTGTAGGTGGATTGTGCTTTGAGTACTATTACAAACAAATTTGAGGTTTTTCATGGAGCAAGGCTCCCCTCTTTTTCTTGCCTGGAAATGGGCCATAGCTAAATATTCTTTCAAATGAAAATTATCAGTGTTTCACTCTTGTGCCCTATGAATTAAAAGATATATACTGTATAAAGGACTGAAGGGTTTGGTTTTTTTTTTTGTTAAATATCTGCAATACTGAGAAAGACAGAAAGAGTTATATCTACATTTATACATACCAGAAGGGGGAGCAGTAGCAGATCCAAAAGAAGGCTGCGTACTTTGCTGTCCAAAAGCTGGGGACTGTACATTACTGGACAAAGATCCAAAACTTGGAACAGTCTGAGAACCAGGGGGAAATAATGAAGCTGACGCAGGTGCACCAAAAGCTGGGGCATTAGTCTGAGCAACAGGTTTCCCAAATGTTGGTACAGAACTGGTAGCAGCAAGACCAGATGCAGCTGGGGCTGACTGACCTGCTCCAAAGACGAACGGTGTTGAGCTGGTACCTGAAAAGAAGTACAGAAATGGATTCAGGGTTTGGTAATGTCACAGTATACAATGAGTAAAGATTTGAAAACCATTACAATACTGATCAGCAGGAGTGACAATTTCATAAACACCCACAAAACAGTTAAATATACCTATCCTCCGCTTCCCCAGCACCAAAAAAAAAAAAAAAAATTAAATCTGTAGGTTACTAGCCTTAGATGTGGTGGCTATAATAGTTTTCTTTATTTATCCCCCCCCCCTTCATTTTCATCTGCCAATCCTGAGATTAAAGTGAATCTATGGTCAAAATGTATAATCATATAATAATTTCCTCATTGCATTTCAATTATTTCTAACCTACTCCTATTATACTGAATGATAGTGCAGTTTGTATATTTGTGAAAATCTTACACATTCATTATGCCTTGGGAGTAGACATAGCAAAGCTGAGAGTGATTCCTGTACCGAATGTGCCTCCTGAAACACCACCTGTTTGCAGGCAGCAAGGTAATATGGAATATGTAGTTCAGGGATGTTGCATTCATATTGCCCGATACCCGGGACAAGTAGTATCAGGCAGGTAGTTTTGTTTTTTCTTTTCTTTTACGTTCAGCCCTGCTGCGAGCAAGCAGCAGGGCTCACCTGTCAGGTGAAAGCATTCGGGAGGCAGCTGCCCAAATGCTTCCACACTGTGCCAGCCTCTACGCCCTCCCCCACCCCCCTTGTGAAGCCCCCTGCCCACTGTCTTCCAGGCCCGCAGATGGGCAAGCGGAGCAAGTGGGAACAGCTCACCACCAGCGGCTAGAGGGGAGGGAGGAGAGTGAACACGCTCCCCTCCCCTTCTTGTCCTGACCCAGAAGTGATGTTAGGATGTCCCTTCTGGGTCCCTGTTGAGAGATTCCTGGCAATTGAGGCCAGGAAAGAATGTAATGCAGTGCAATGTGCACTGCATTACATTCAGGGGAGACATCCAGGATCTTTTATACCTTGGATGTCTCAAAGAGAACCTGTGACCAAAAAATCATCACATAGGGGACTACATTTTTTCCTTTTTTAATTGTAAAAAAATGAAAGAAGCCCAAGCGCATAACAATCCCCCCCCCCCAAAAAAAATTGAGCCCCCACAAATACGCATGTAAAAAAGTAAAAGCATACGCTGGGGCACCTACTCATGAAACAATCGATTGCAATACACGTTACATATCGCCGTGCACGCCAGAATGAGAGCAATAATTCTAGCACCAGACCTCCTCCGTAACACTAAACGGATGACCTAAAAGGGGCTTTAAAATCGTTACCTATAGAACATATAGGGTATTGAAGTTCATCGCCATTTCATGAGTGCATGCAAATTTAAGGTTTGACAAGTTGGATATTTACTCGCTGCAACCTCATCTTTTATATTTTACAAAAAAAAATAGGGTAATCTATTGCTTTTTTGTGCCCTAAAATTAACTTGTATTTTTACTGAGATTTTGTGGTAATATCACTCAACATAAAAAATTGGAACTACCACTATTTTATTCTCTAGGGTCTCAGATTTCAGAAAATATACCATGTTTGGGGTTTTGTGTAATCTTCAGGCCTAAAATTATTTTTTTAGTCTTGTGCAAAAAAAAAAAAACGCAAAAACGGTTCTGGCAGCAAAAGGGATAAAGGATAAGCCCCACGCCTCTCTTTCCAGACAAGCACCCAATCAGTGCTCATTACACTGCATGGTGGTCTCTCTGCTCCCTACTAGTCCCCAAGTGCGGTGCTGGAGACAGGCAGGGAGGGGAGGAGGAGATTAACAGCGCAATGTTAAATACATTAAAGGTTTAAGTCACCATAAAACCCCTTTTGTTTTTAAAACATTCCTAATATCACCTGCAATTTAAATACGGTTTGGGTTAATTTTTTTTTTTTTTTTTATCGTCTGGACAAGTAGATTGTCATGAGGGACAAGTAGATCAGGACACTGATTTAGTCCCTTGGACAAGTAGTATTTTCAGAAATTTCCACACCCCTGTAGTTAGAAATTAAAGAAATAAAGGCAAATTTGTTTATTTTGGACAGAGTGGGGAAGGATTAGAACACCTTTTTATTACTGTCTGTGCCTTTATTAGGGAGATTCATCCCCTCTATTTGTCCTGTTTACCATTATCAAAAGTGAATGTAAAGGAAAATTCCAAATTCTGGGTTGTCCCCAATGGATTCCCTTTATTTGCAGGGATTCCCTCTCACTTCCTGTTTTGCTATAGGACAGGAAGTGAAGGCAAAACTCCCAAATGAGACTCTCCAAACTGAAAAATCAAAGTTCCGCCTAAAGATCTACTTTAAAAATAAACAGCAGAGAAGAAGCAGCAACACATGCTGGGAATCCAGCATACTGTGGACAGATGACCAGCAAGTAGGCAGCATTTACAACATCAAAGGACATTTTTCAAATAAGCTTATACTGATATTCAAATTAACTATTTGTGTTATTACCATGCTGAGGTGAGAAAATTAAAGCGTATGTTGCGACCGCCAATCTCCTTTAACAGGATTTTTGTACAAACCACAAAATCCTTCTGATTCCACTGAGGGTAAAAGGAAGATTTTACCTTTTGGGTTATACAGACACCTAGAGGACAGGACACTGGCAAACCATGTAGGCCAGTCAAAGGTAACCTGTCCCACTACTAGAATGTCTTAATTCTGCAATACCAAAAACATGATTATAAGCACAGAGGGGGGGGTGCAACTTGTGTCCCTCAATAGACTTCATCTATGAGGAGGCTGGCTGTAATGAAGTCGATCCATCAACTTCATTACAACCAGCCAGTTGGATTATTTTTCATGTAAATTACTACCAGAGGCTATAGCCACCAGCAGTTTTCGTGTTGTGCTGGCAGAGAAAGCTCCTGTTGCCAGAACACAATAGCATGGCGGGAGGGATTCCCCCATTGGCTATGGGAGATTCAAGCAATTTTCTTTCCTGCAAGAAAACTTCATCTATGACTTGCCTTACAGTGGTAAGAACTGGTGGTGGCAGGAATTTTGAAAAGGTGTCTAACAGTACAAATGATGAGTTAACTCCAGGTGCTTCAGCCTGCCTGCTTTCTCACCAAGAGGATTTTCATAGATGGCCACACCTGGGGCGGTGACACAAATCTAGACCTAGAAAGTGCTCTGCAGCTAACAAGTACAAAAAGGTCTGGAGAGCATTGCATTGTACAGCCCAATGTCTGAAGGTCAAATTCTTAGCCCTGCACATTCACTTCAGCAAGGTCTGGGAAGCGCCTTTAAAACTATTGTTGAGGAAATGTTGATTTGGACAGCTGCTATAAAGACCAACTCAAGTACCAGTGTAGCAAGAAATTTTTACTGGATGATAAAGAGGAAAAAATCTCCACAAAGAAGGCTAGCAAAAATAGGACTTTTTTTTTCAGCAGAGAAGAAAAGAAAGAAAAAGAAAAAAATACTGGAGGCATGCTTGGCAAACAAGGGGCTACACAGGTGTTGGCCTACAACTGCTGAAGGTGTTAAAACCCAACCATTCCTGAATTCCTCTGGCAATCAATGGGCAAAAAACTCAGTTCAGGTCCTTGGAGATTACACTAATTCCTCCACTGTATCTCTGAAGAGCGCTGTGGCCATCACTAATGCTGGAATTCAAACATCTCTACTTCAGTTAAATGCCATTACATGAAGGTAAGAGAATTTGTTTACACAAAATAGAAAACATGGGCACTGTCATTGGCAACCTCCATATTTACTGTTCGGGATTTCCTTTTGGTTAGTTTTTATGCTGGGTTTCCAGCACTGTTTTGCCCGATATATTTACAGTGACTTGGTGTGGTGACTGGACCTGTGGGTGTGTTAGAGACATTGTATTATTATACGGGTATGGCGAAGGGTTTGATTTTTTCATTAACTTTTGTATTTTTTTAGATATTGCATACCTATTTTTATGTGGTAAAAGTTTTGTACTTTATATATTATTCTCCTTTATTGAACTGGGTTGGACACAGGCCACGTGGGCTGTAACTAAAGTTTAACAAACGCTTTATTAATTCAGTTTTTGCACATACAAGAAAAAATCGCAAGAACAGGACCTAGATGCCTGGCGCTCACAGGAGGTGGGCTATCCAGAACAATTCAATGCAAAATAGTAAATCGACATAACAAAAAAAAAAATAAAATAAAAAGGAAAAAAATAAACAAATGTGTGCGCGTGTGGCTCTAGTTACAGGAAACTATATTTTGGCACAGATGAGCGCCCAATATAGGTTCCCCCTCAATTACAGGAATACATGGCAGATAATCCACCAAACTCATGATTCCAGCTAGATGCTGGGAGGGGGGGTGTCTATACCGTGGTAGTATCTGCTAAACCATTTCGCCGAGAGTTAATCAGTCTTGCAAGGACAACCTCTATTTATACAAGTGGCTTTGTAAAGTGGAAGTGGAGAGTCTACTGGAGGATTCCAGTACGCGATTGTGAGAGCCTCTGGTTTTTTCCAGTGCAAAGTGAGCACCTTTCTGGAATATAGCAGCAGCAGGTTGAGTAGCGTCTTCCCAGCAACAGTGCCGGAAAGACCATCCACCAGGCCCAACAGACATATTCCAGGAGAGGGAGCAAAACAGGTCAGAGGAATTGAGGGGTTAAGCCGATTGATCCTCTGGGGGCATATGATAGGCTCTATGCAGAATGTTAAATTATATTAACCTATCCCTAAGGGGGACCAACTGCCTAAAGGGCATATCCCACATATCTGTCCAGTCCTTATCGTCCAAATCTGAAATATCCAAAAAACCACTTCTGAAAGAAAGTCGACAAGTCAGGCAAAGCCAACATAAAGAGATGATTATATAGTGTCGAAATCGGCTTGTCCAGGGTATCTGACCGAAGAAGAGTTTCCAAATCAGAGCATTTAAGCTGAATTGGTGAATGTGAAAACTGACTGCTGAAGGCTTGAGCAAGCTGCAAGTGTTGAAATAGAAAATGTGGAGGGACATCATACTGTTGACAGAGAGAGGAACTAACACTCTCCCATTGTCCACTATATGCGAGATGGATTTAATTTTGTGTTTTGTCAAGGCCTGTGGATCGGGCAAAGCATAAAAGTATTGCAAAGTAGGGTTGTTCCAGAGGGGTACATAGGGGGACAGTTCCATGGATGTGAGAGACTCAGACGTATGCCCGCATTTCAAGCCTCAAGTGTCGTGAGCATGGATGGAGTAAGGGGGTATGGGGCCTTAAGACCACAGAAAGGTAATAACTGTAGAGCCTCTAGGGAGCCCAGTACGGCTGCCTCAGACATAATACAAAAATTGGCAACCTCAGCTTGAAGCTACCAGTGAGCAGTCACCAACTGTGAGGCCAAGAAATATTTGTGACTATCAGGAAATGTCGACCACTCTTGTAGTGGTGGTCTCATAAGTGTGGTCGATTTATAGCGCCGGGTCCGAGTGCCCCATATGAAGGTGGAAAACATTTGGATCAACTGGGTAAATGACTTTGGGATCCATTGTGGGGAGCGAAGAAACAAGTGGGTGAAGTTACAGAATAATTTCATTTTTACAAGATTGATATGCCCCAGTAGGGACAGTGGCAGATTGCACCACACCTTTGGCTTAGCCTGACCTCTTGCATGACCGGAGTTAAATGAAGGGACACAGATGCTTTACGAGAAATAATAACCCCAAAATAGCGAAATTTGTCAACCCACTGCAAAGGAAGATCCTCCGAGACATGTTCCAAAGCACCCTCACTAATAGGAAACAGTATAGATTTGTTCCAGTTTGCCCAGAGGCCAGTAACTCCAGAAAAAGTAATTAGGATTTGAAGTGCACTCAAGAGGGAGTGACTCGCAGCATGGAGGAAAAACAGAGTGTCATCGGCGTACAGTGCAATACGCTACTCCAGCCAACCCACTCGGAGTCCACGAATCTCAGATGAGGTTCGAAAAAACTTCTGCGATAGGTTCGGCTGCCAGCGCAAAGAGGGTCGAGGAGAGAGCGGGCAGCCCTGTCTAGTGCCACGAGCCAACCGAGAGGCAGCCGACAGGCTGCCCCCAAGTCTAATTGATGCAGTGGGTTGAGAGTATAAAGTGCGGAGCCATTGAATGAAGCATAGAGGCAATCCCATCCTATGCAGCACCTCCTAAAGAATGGCCATTCGACCGTGTCAAATGCCTTTTCGATGTCAAGCGAGGCAACAGCCCTGGTACCAGTGTGAAGGTCCTGCGTGTGTATGTTGGTAAACAATCTAGGAATATTTATGTCCGTAGAAATACAGGGCATAAAACCAGTCTGCTCTGAGTCTATGAGGGAGCCTATAACCCTGCCAAGTCTGGTGTTTAAAAGTTTTAAGATTTTAAGATCTGAATTAAGGAGGGCAATAGGCCTGTAGAAAGCACAGGACATTGGGTTTTTGAGCTCTTGTGAATTATGGGCAGTATGCCTGGAAGGGGGCAGCGGGACATCCTCCAAAACACTGTGTACAGGGAGGCCAATCTAGGGGCTAGAAAGTCACTGTGTGCTTTGTAGAGTTCAACTGGGATGCCATTGAGGCCGGGAGCTTTCCCAGAGGGGAAAGAGTGGATAACTGTATGTACCTCTTCAGTGGTAATGGGGCGCATCAACATCTCCCATTCCCTGTCTGAAAGCCAAGCAAGCGCTAGGGGATCTAAAAGATGTGCGAGATGAGAGATATAGAAATCTGGGGGTAAAGGAGGAAGCATATAACTGGCTATAATAATTAAGGAATTCCTCCAGGAGCTCCTCAGTAGAGGAAACCATAGAACCGTCAGAGGAATGGAGTTCAGAAATGGTGGTAAGGGGTCTATCATTTTGAGCAAGCATAGACAAAAATCTACAATTTGTGTCCCCCTGTTCAAAAAACCTGTCTGCTCTGCCGTAAATTCTCCTTAGTAATTTCAGCCATGTAAAGGTGGAGGTTCCTCTTAGCTGTCAGTAAATGTGCAAATTCCTCTGGGATATGGGAAAGAGCACAGGATGCAGCTTTCAAGCCAGATCTGATTTTTAAGGCGAGCTGGCATCCAACCAGTTACAGAAGCCTTACTTCATAATTTATTTTATATAAGAATGGTAATCCTCACTATTTGTCTTGGTGACCAATCACATGTAACTAAGTGAGAAAAATCCAAATTTGGAGTTGTCACCAAAACAAGAAAAAAAAGTATGAATCTGTCAATTGGGTACATTTGTTGCAGCAACAATGAATGCCCTGTTGTGTCTATGGCTCAAGGTGTGAATGTAAATATTCCCAATGTGTCGCAGACAGCAAGACACACTACCAGACAGTTGATTTAGGCATTTCCTAATCTAACAAAAAAAAAAATAATTTGGCTTAGGAAATACTTAACCTATAATAGAAATTCAGCAACTAAATCCCAAACATAAAATTCTGGGAACTGGTCCTGGCAAATTTTAAGTTATTTTACAGAGCATGTTTGTAGTCCAGCCTCACACTGTTACAATGCGGTAACACACACAGGTTAAGGTAGCTCATTTGTTTTGAGTGGGCTGTCAATGTACTTATTCATGGCAAAAAGCCCACCTGAACATTTTTCGGGAATGCAATACAAGGTAATGCATCTAAGTGCTTTGCGGTGCTTTTCAAACTGAATTGAACTCCTAGTGCACCAACACACAACAGCACTCTGACAGCATGAGCATGCCCTTAATGTTTTAGAAGGCCTTAACACTTTGAAGTGCATGACTTACGAATGAAAAACTGAAGAGATTGCCTCTTTGCTTGAGCCCCACAACTTCAGCTACATAAACAGTGCCCCAGAAATGTACACAGATGCAGGCTTGTTAGTATGAAAAGGTATTTAACAAAACAAAAAAATAAATCTGATCAAGCCATTTTACCTGTTGAATTGGAGGTATTTGTCCCGCCAAAGTTAAAGCCAGAAGCAGCTGGTGTTGAAGCATTTGCACCAAACACAAAAGGTGTAACAGCAGCTGAAGCTGTACTTGCAGACGTTTCTGCTGGTTTACTCTCTTGGCCAGCAAAACCAAACGTCGACTTGGATTCATTGCCGCTGCCAAACATAGAGCCACCTGCTGTAGTAGTAGTAGTAGGCTGCCCAAACACAAAGGGTACACTGGATGGGTTGGTAGATGTACTTGGATTGCCAAATAAAGTATTGGAATTTGCCGAAGTGTTTGTGGGAGCCGCACTTCCAAACACATTGCTAGAACTTGATGTATTCACAGAGGCCACACTGCCAAAGACAATGCTGGAAGTGGTTGAAGTCCCTGAAGCTGGAACACTTCCAAATATACTGTTAGAACCTGCAGGGCTGTTCGAAGACAAGGCCCCACCAAACACATTGCTAGTACCTGAAGATGCGGTCAATGACGTTGCACTGCTGAAGACTGTACTAGAAGGTGCAGGGGTACCACCGGCTGGAGCAGCAGTGTTGGACTGTACAGCACTGCCAAATACATTACTAGAACTTGTCTGAGGAACACTGCCAAATACACTGCTGGAACTTCCAATACTACTAGACTGAGGGGCACTCGAGGATCCATTCCCTTGAAAGCCAAACACTGGTTTTGAAGAGCCTGTTTCTTTGGGAGGAAAACAAATAAAGCTGTAATATCATCAAACCAACAGCAAAACAAGAACTAAATCTCAAAAAAAAAAACAAAACAAAAACAAAAAAAACACAATTTTTGCAGCACAATTTTTTAGGATCCAAACATATGGCTATCAATTGTTCATTACTTTATAGTAGGTTCTGCTGCCCCATGGCTTCACCTTGTATTAATCAGGTCCTTGAAGAATTATAGCATGTTGTATAGAGAAGAATCTATTTGCTTACAATTCTCCAAATGAGATATCACATTACTAGCAAAACATGACAAATATGACAATCAATACAAACCTCCATTATCATAAAGCTGGCCATACACTATCAGATATTTTTCATTCAGCCTACAGGCTGAGCTGGGGGGCAGGGGAGATTCCTTCATCCATGCCAACAGATCCCTCTGTTAGATCTCCCGCTGCACCTGTGTTATTCTGGCAGCTGGCACCAGATGCAGTTGCTGTTCAGCTGACAATTTTTCAAAATGAAGGATACTGGAGTAAAAGGGCCACTCACTGACTGAAATTCATACAGTGTTTGGCCAGCTAAAGGTCAAAAGAAGCTTCACTGCGCTCAGCTCCAGGATACTGTCCTCAGCTGTGAACAGGTGCCAGTCACTGGGGCCCATTCTCAATCTGTGTGAGCATTATATAAAAGATGGAAGTGACGCGATGGTAAAATCACTTCCTTATTTTACAAAACAGTGAATAATCGGGTCCTTCAAGCATCAGGGGGATTACAATAAACATCATTTTGTCAACACAGATCCTTGAAGAAAGTGACATCACCTGAATGCAGCCTCTTTTCCAGAGTGCTCCATTAATCTAAAGCAGTGTTTCTCAACCTTTTTCCAGTCGGGGTGCCCTTGAAAAGCATTTTCAGTCACGAGGCACCCCTATCCAAAGATTGGTTCACATTACTGTGTGTCGCGTAATGCATGAGAAATCGCGCTCATTCCTGACATGGACACAAATGCTCTGCTCTTTAGAGGTACCCCATACACTGGCAAACACGGGGTGTTTTTGGTGTGGTGCAATTTTAAAACTAAGGATAGGGACGACTTTCCCTGCATTTCTGCAGGTAAGGCAGCCCATTAAAATGAACGGGCTGCCCTACGCACAACCACACAGATGTGAACCAAGGGCCTGTCCACCTGTGGAGGTTGGAGGGAGGTAAAACCACACAATTGAGCTGCTTTTACCACCCCCAACTGCTCCCCCTTTAGCTGCAGAAACAGCAGCTGAGGGAATACATATGCTGTTGCCGCAGCTGGAAGTATACCTCCAGGTGAATGGAGTTGAACTACAACCACTCCGCAAGTGTGCACGCATTGCACACAGTTGTGGTGTGGCGATTGATGCTGGGGTTAAACCAGGTAGTGAGGAGGCAACATATTGCCTCTTTACTGTCAAATGCCTCTGAAAAGCAATATGAGCATTGCTTGCTTTTCAGAGGAGCAGCAGTCGCTGCTATTATGAACAAGTCCTAAAAAAGCAGTTCTGATAAGACAGGAATAGGGGGGGGGGGGGGTTGAGATTAAAAGTAAAATACATACACATAGGTAGACACGCACACATGTATACAGCATTACGAAAAGTTAAAGTACCTTAGCTTCCTTCCATCACACTGCTTCTCCCTAGAGTGCAGTACTCAGCTGAGAGCACAGAAGACACTTCCCCTTCCCTTTGCTCAGCGGTCTGATGGCTCCCAGTGCCGAACGTAAAGTGCGGCTCGGGATCAGGAGCTCGGGCTCAAGTGACAGCCATTCTCCCCATGGCACCCCCGAAGACCTCTGGAAGCACCCCGGTTGAGAAAGGCTGATCTAAAGCACTATGTTCAGTTTCATGATATACACAACATTGTACCTTTCACCTTGGCTAAACTATTACATTTTCCTGCAAGAATTCTGCATTTGTAGAACACAAGGATGCTTATCAAATAGAAATTTAAAAAAAAAAAAAAAAAAAAACACAAACAAAAAAACTGTAGATGCCTAGAGTTTTTCTATAGCCTTCCAAAGGAAAGAGACGCCACCTGATTTAACATACATGTGCAAAAAACTTAACACACCCAAATATGATTGCTGCACTACACAGCAGTTCATGTTATTTGCCTGGCACAGCTGAAGTTCTGATGTCACAGTTTGTGCAGCCTTACTGCATTGGTGCAAATTTGGTCAAGATGATCGAGTTTCCTCTCACAATTCAGACCAAACTTGTCCTAGAGAGAATCTGGAATTCCTAAAGCAGTGTTATGGGGACTTGCATACAATGTGCCCCAATGGGCAATGTATGACATAACCATATCTTTAAATACTCCAAATGATTCTCCAAAGCGGTTAAGACCAATATTAACCACAGACTGCCCCTAATTTTTCCTCAACTAAGCATTCTATGATGGACTGCCAAAGATTCTTTACCACAAAGGGGAACTGCAAATGAACAAGCTTCACAATTCTGAGGTTTCTGCAATAGGGAACAAATTTGGAAGCTTAAAGAATTATTCCGGATATCATTGTATCATGCAAGCAACACACACTACATCTCGATGCTAGTATTGCATGACTATCACACTGGTAACAAGCGGCCTTTGTCCTGTTTACCGTCATCATCAAAAGTGAAAGTAAAAGAAAACCCCAAATTTTGGGTTGTCCCCAGAAAAGTTAAAGAGAGATGTTCCAATGGGGACATTAGTTTTTGGTGACCTGGGGGTCCTCAAGGAATTCCCTTAATTTACAGGGATAATCTCACTTCCTGTTTGGCTATGGGACAGGAAGTGAAAACCAAGGGAAATCTCCATAATGGTGTACAGATGGCGAAAACAATCTGACGGGGGGTTATAACCCTCCCTTGCTATATTCAAAATGAAAAGGTTTTGCCTATAGTTCTACTTTAACAATTCTGGGGGAAATATGGAGGACAACAAAAAAATACAGATACTGTCTGCATCAATGCTTAGAACCCAGGTGAACAGTATGACCAAAAATGAGCTCTTACCTGTGGCAGAAGGACCAAATGCAAAGACTGGTTTTGCTGGCTGATCAGCTTCCTTCTTTTCTGCAGGATTTGGCGCACCAAATCCAAATGTGCCAAGCGTTGATGTATCAGCCTTGCCTGACTCAGGTTTACCAAACATAAAGGTCTTTGGCTGTTCTCCATCACTTTTGGAACCAAATATGGAGGTTGCAGCTGGGGTAGATTCAGTTTTCTCTTCGTTTTTCCCAAAAGCAAAGGATGAAGCTGCTTCCTTCTGGTCTAGTTTACCAAATGTGAAACCACTTACCACAGGAGTCTCTGTATTTTTCTCCTCTGGCTCCTTTAAAACAAACGATGGTGTGATGACAGATTTTTCCTTAGCGGACAGAGCAAGCAGATTTGAATTACTAGAGCTCTCAGGTTTGGAAGGAGCTGTGCCAAATTGGAAGTCAGTTTTCAATTTAACACCACTATCCTTCTCTGCAGAAGCAGAACTAGTAAAGCCATAATGAAAAGGTGTTGAAACAGTGTTGCTATTGCCAGTGGTTGGTACAAATGTGAAATCTTTCTCATCTAATGATTTAGAAGTTTGACCAAACGTGAAAGAAAAGCTAACTTTATTTGTACTTGAGGAGTCCGTGGAAGAACTTGATTTCTGTTCTCCAGGGTCACTTGATGGAGGCAGTCCAAACTTAACAGGTGGAAATGTAGATTCTGAAGAAAAGGATGTCTTTCCAAAACCTGATAATTTAAAAAAAAAAAAAAGTTATTGCTAAATTGACATAGCAGTAAGAAAAAACTAAACATGTTGCTCCTAAAAACAGTGAAGTTTTAAAAGAGTAATGTTTATACTTCCTGAAATAACTTAGTAAAAGTGGTTTAGAGAAAAGGGTATTGGAGACCTTCTATTGTTCATGTATTATTATTATTATTATTATTATAATACAGTATTTATAAAGCGCCAATAGTTCGCTCAGCGCTGTACATTACAAAGGGAGACAGAACATGTGACAGAACAATACCAATACAATGCAAAACATGAGGGGATCGAGGGCCCTGCTCTTTCGAGCTTACAATCTAGGAGGGAGGGGGTGGTGGCACAGGAGGAGATAGCTGTGGGGGATGGAGTGGTAGGAAGAGTGGAGGAGGTCGGCAAGTTAGCAGGGGGTGGGGTAGGCTTCCCTGAAGAGATGGGTTTTCAGGGTGCGCCTAAAGGAGAGGAGAGTAGGTGATAATCTGATGGGTTGGGGCAGGGAGTTCCAGAGGATGGGTGACACCCTGGAGAAGTCCTGGAGGCGGGCATGGGAGGAGGAGACCAGGGAACTAGAGAGAAGGAGGTCTTGTGAGGAGCGGAGTGTGCGTGTTGGGCGGTACTTGGATATTAGGTCAGAGATGTAGTACGGGGCAGTATGGTGGACAGCTTTGTACGTCAGCGTTAGGATTTTGAATTTGATCCGTTGCGCAATCGGAAGCCAGTGGAGAGATTGGCAGAGGGGGGTGGCGGAGACAGAGCGGTTGGAAAGGTGAATGAGTCTGGCAGCCGTGTTCAGGATGGACTGAAGAGGGGATAGCCAGCGGCGAGGCAGGCCAGTGAGGAGGGAGTTGCAGTAGTCGAGTGTGCGGAGTACTGCATCTTAGTTCTGTTGGTATCTCAACTGTATGCTGGCAGATAAGATCAATCTAAACCTCTCAGAACATTGTGGCCTGTAAATTTGTCTCTCTAGATGACATTCAACAGTCTCACTTGTAGAAAAGAGAAATAAGGGAGTGATCTGTCCCATTCTGGGATACAGCTTATTTTGAATTATTGATGTCTGGCAGATGTTTTAGAAATATAAAAGGCGAGGACAAACAGATTCAAAGAAAGCTTTTTTTCCAAGGATTATTAAGGCCATATGAATTTAATTAGCAAAGTAGACTTAGGTTACGGTTTGCTATAATAGGTTTCCTATTTTTAGAGATGGGAGTTTTTGGTGTTTGACAAATTTTTTTTTAATGTACAGTATGTACTGTTTTATGCTTTTGCGTATAATGTGAAGAGTTTTCAGAAATTTCATTGCGAAGTGGTTTTGCAATGACAAATCTTATCTGGCATCTCCTAATGTATGAAATATAATAAGCTACCTTGTAGTTCCCCTTGGGTAGCAGGCAGAGAGGCTGGAAAGGATGTAGTTGCAGTTGACACACCTTGGAAAAAAACGACATGGGAGAGGAAAAGAAAAAAATAAATAAGAGGTTTTCCACGTGATCAAATATTATACAAGCACAACTACATTACGCAAACATTCCTTGACAAAAAAAAATAAAAACATAATATATATACACACACACATATACAGTATCTCACAGAAGGGAGTACACCCCTCACATTTTTATAAATATATTATATCTTCATGTGACAACACTGAAGAAATGATACTTTGCTACAATGTAAAGTAGTGTGTGTACAGCTTGTATAACAGTGTAAATTTGCTGTCCCCTCAAAATACTAAACAGCCATTAATGTCTAAACCGCTGGCAACAAAAGTGAGTACACTCCTAAGTGAAAATGTCCAAATTGGGCCCAAAGTGCCAATATTGTGTGGAGACCATTATTTTCCAGCACTGGTTTAACCCCCTCTTGGGCATGGAGTTCACAAGACCTTCACAGGTTGCCACTGGAGTCCTCTTCCACTCCTCCATGACGACATCATGGAGCTGCTGGATGTTCAAGACCTTGCGCTCCTCCACCTTCTATTTGAGGATGCCCCACAGATGCTCAATAGGGTTTAGATCTGGAGACATGATTGGCCAGTCTATCACCTTTACCCTCAGATTCTTTAGCAAGGCAGTGGTCGTCATGTTGGAATATTGCCCTGCTGCCCAGTCTCCAAAGGGAGGGGATCATGCTCTGCTTCAGTATGTCACAGTACACGTTCGCATTTATGGTACCCTCAATGAACTGTAGCGCCCCAGTGCCAGCAGCACTCATGCAGCCCCAGACCATGACACTCCCACCACCATGCTTGACTGTAGGCAAGATATACTTGTCTTTGTACTCCTCACCTGATCGCCGCCGCACCCACTTGACACCATCTGAACTAAATAAGTTTATCTTGGTCTCATCAGACCACACAACATGGTTCCAATAATCCATGGCCTTAGTCTGCTTGTCTTCAGCAAACTGTTTGTGTGCTCTCTTGTGAATCATCTTTAGAAGAGGCTTCCTTCTGGGACGACAGACAGTCATGCAGACCAATTTGATGCAGTGTATGGTCTGAGCACTGACAGGCTGACCCCCCACCCCTTCAACCTCTGCAGCAATGCTGGCAGCACTCATGTCTATTTCCCAAAGACAACCTCTGGATATGACGCTGAGCACATGCACTCAACGTCGACCATGGCGAGGCCTGTTCCGAGTGGAGCCTGTCCTGTATATATACCTAATTTTAAACACACCTGCTCCCCATTCACACCTGAGACCTTGTAACACTAACGAGTCACATGACACCAGGGAGGGAAAATAGCTAATTGGGCCCAATTTGGACATTTTCACGTAGGAGTGTGCTCACTTGTTGCCAGCAGTTTAGACATTAATTACTGTGTGTGGAGTTATTTTGAGGGGACAGCAAATTTACACTGTTATACAAGCTTTACACTCACTATGTCACATTGTAGCAAAGTGTCATTTCTTCAGAGTTGTCACATGAAAAGATAGAAAAAATATTTACAAAAATGAGAGGGGTGTACTCACTTTTGGGAGATACTGTATATACAGCGGGGCAAAAAAGTATTTAGTCAGCCACCAATTGTGCAAGTTCTCCCACTTAAAAAGATGAGAGAGGCCTGTAATTGGCATCATAGGTAGACCTCAACTATGAGAGACAAAATGAGAAAAAAAAATCCAGACAATCACATTGGCTGATTTGGAAAGAATTTATTTGCAAATTATGGTGGAAAATAAGTATTTGGTCACCTACAAACAAGCAAGATTTCTGGCTCTCACAGACCTGTACCTTCTTCTTTAAGAGGCTCCTCTGTCCTGCACTCATTACCTGTATCAATGGCACCTGTTTGAGGTTGTGGACAGGTGTCTTTTATACTGATAACAAGTTCAAAAACAGTCACACTCCAAACTCCACTATGCTGAAGACCAAAGAGCTGTGGAAGGACACCAGAAACAAAATTGTAGACCTGCACCAGGCTGGGAAGACTGAATCTGCAATAGGCAAGCAGCTTGGTGTGAACAAATCAACTGTGGGAGCAATAATTAGAAAATGGAAGACATACAAGACCACTGAATCTCCCTTGATCTGGGGCTGCACGCAAGATCTCACCCCGTGGGGTCAAAATGATCACAAGAACGGTGAGCAAAAATCCCAGGACCACACGGGGGGACCTAGTGAATGACCTGCAGAGAGCTGGGACCAACGTAACAAAGGCTACCATCAGTAACACACTACGCCGCCATGGACTCAGATCCTGCAGTGCCAGACGTGTCCCCCTGCTTAAGCCAGTACATGTCCGGGCCCGTCTGAAGTTTGCTAGAGAGCATTTGGATGATCCAGAAGAGGATTGGGAGAATCATATGGTCAGATGAATCCAAAATAGAACTGTTTGGTAGAAACACAACTCGTCGTGTTTGGAGGAGAGAGAATGCTGAGTTGCATCCAAAGAACACCATACCTACTGTGAAGCATGGGGGTGGCAACATCATGTGTTGGGGCTGTTTCTCTGCAAAGGGACCAGGATGACTGATCCATGTACAGGACAGAATGAATGGGGCCATGTATCGTGAGATTTTGAGTGCAAACCTCCTTCCATCAGCAAGGGCATTGAAGATGAAACGTGGCTGGGTCTTCCAACATGACAATGATCCCTAAATGTAATTACTGGCTTTTTTTTCCCCTTTACTATAGCTCAGAGAATCAGCTGTAACTTTCCCCCCAGCTAAAAGAATGTTTCCTTTTAGTTTATTTCCTAGAGATAAAAGAAACAAAGTATCCTTTAGCTCAAGGGAAAGTGACAGCTAATTCTGTGAGCTATAGTGAAGATAAAAAAGCCAGCAATTGCATTTAAAAATCGGCACCGACATACACTTCGTATTGTGAAAGAAATTTGTAAAAAACTTGTAAACCGAGGCATTATTTCCAATGGATTTTCATTTGTAAACCGAAAATCATATTAACCGAGGCATTTGTAAACCGAGGTACACCTGTATTTTTGTGCTCACCGTAAAATTCTTTTCCTAGAAGTCCTTTAAAATATTTTAAAACCGAGCTCCAGGCAAAAACAATATTTGGGGAATTAGCTGGGTACAAAAAACATGACTCTTAATGATGTGTGTCCAACTCCTGGCTACTGCTTCATTTCTGAAAACGGTTAGATGGAAGCACCCGATAGCTTTCTCTGCAGCTTATACACGCATAAAATGTCTAGTATACCTTGAAAGAACATAAGGCGTTCTGTGACTGACATGAACTCCCCTTGTCCAGTCACGGAACATCTTCTATTCTTTTAAATGGATACAAGACATTTCATGAATAGAGGAGATGCAGAGAAAGTGACTTGCTGTGGTCTCTGTGCTCCAGACCCAACTGTCAACTTCAGCAGTGGATGTTCAGTGCTTACATCATCAGGGGGTACATGCAAATTTTTCAGGTTAAAAAAAACAGTAGCCACAAGAGTAAACACATTAAAGGTATTGGTACCTAGCTAAAACCTTAATATGGTTTTTGACCAGAGTCCAGCCATAACCTTTGGGTTACACTACTACCTACATGAGGATTGAACAGTGGCAAACAAAAACTGGCAAGCTCAGGAAAACCCCTCCCACTACCACTACCAGCACACCTCAGTTTTGTAACAAAACAGTACCAATAGCATGATCATAAACACACAGGGGTGACCCAAAATGGATTTTTATGGTAAAAGAAATCTTTTACTTACCTGTGAATGTCTTAAATCTTGACTACAGTACAGGACAAAGGGCTTTAGTCAAACCATAGGTTATATGCAGGCTACCAGTTGACGGAACACTGGCAAAGAACTTTGCTAGGACCACCTCTAGTGCATGCTCATATCTTGAGCAGTTATCTTGAAGAACACTGCAGCCAAAGCTTGTATTAGCTGAAGCTAAACTAAATCAACAGACGTGATAGAATGAGCTCTGATAGAAAGTTTATAACTGTGCCCCTAAGAGCGTAGACCCAGGAATAAAGTTGTCTGAACCAAGCTCATTTCAATGCAAAGGCCTTGCATGAGCGCACAGAAAAGCAACATTTTGGGAACACGCAGGGACCTTCCTCAGGCACATGACGATCACATGACCCATCTCCATGATTGGTCCCAAAACATTACTTTAGTCTTAGACATTGCTGGCTAACAGGGGGGGACTGGTTTCCTTAATCCCTTGGCTCTGGCGCCTCCTAGACCTTTCACGGGTCTTAGATGTCAGGATGCAGGGTTTGTGATCAAGTAACCGCCGTGATTAGCGGTCACATCGGTCAATGATTGGTAGCTTTCTGTTAGCCGCCGGTAACTGTGTCAGGAGCGCCCATGGTGCGTGCTCTCAGCAAAGTTCTGTTTTTGTTTGGGTATGCATATATGTGCCCTCTTGCCGTTAAGGCCCACCTACCGGAAAAAGGCTACATATATGCACGTGGCCGGCGGGAAGAAGTTAAAGAGAGGTCAGGAACGTCACTTGAGAATGAGAATTTTACCTCTGCTCCTGAGAATGGAGCAGAGCCAAAACCATAGCAAATGACTGGCAAACTGGTAATATCCAAAGCAAAACACAAACGGCATTAAAGAGGAAAGGTTGGGAATGTGGAAGTATCCAAAATGTACTGTATATAAAAGACCAGAAAATCCCCATGATGTAGGGAGGCTATGATCTAGCAGCTTCCATGCAGAACTTTTGAACCCGTAGGAACAAGTTGAGAGTCTTCAGATCCAGAAAGGGACAAACTACTCATTCAGTTTGGGAAAGGGTTTGAAAAAAAATCTTGAAAATGTTCTTCTGTTACAGGGGTAACAACCCCCTAAGACAGGGTTGCTCAACCTTTTGAAGAGTGAGGACCACTTAACTGATTTGGTATTCGGTTGCAGGCCACAATGAAATGGTGCAGAATTTAAATTTTTTTAATTTGGAATAGCGCAATGAACATTTTCCTCCTGCAACCACTGAATGCTGGCAGGAGGGAGAGAAGGAGAACTGGATTTCGGCAGCTGCAGGAAGAAAATGATGGAGGTGGAGAAGGATCTAGGGGTTCTGGCAAATCACAAGCTTAACAATGGCATGCAATGCCAAGCTGCGGTTTCTAAAGTGAGCAAAATCCTCTGTTAAGAGGTATAGACTCCATAGAGAGATATTCTAACCCTGTACAAATCATTAGTAAGACCTCATCTGGAATATGCAGTTCAGTTTTGGGCACCAATTCACAAAAAGAATATTGGGGAACTGGAGAAAGCACAGAGAAGGGCGACCAAACTGATAAGAGGCATGGAGGAGCTCAGCTATGAGGAAAGATTAGAGGAACTGAATTTATTCTCGCTTGAGAAGAGGAGATTAGGGGGGATATGATCAACATGTATAAATACATCAGTGGTTCATATAGTGAACTCGGTGTAGAGCTATTCACCCTGAGGTCATCACAGAGGACAAGGGGGCACTCTTTACGTCTGGAGGAAAAGAAATTTAATCTCCAAAACACGAAAAAGATTTCTTCACAGTGAGAATAGACTCCTTCAAGAGTTGGTTCTGGCCAGCTCAGTGGATTGCTTTAAAAAAGGCCTGGATTATTAGATACACACAATATAACTGGATACTAACATTTATAGGTAAAGTTGATCCAGGGAATATCCGATTGCCTCTCGGGGGACCAGGAAGGAATTTTTTTCCCCACAGGAGCAAATTGGATCATGCTTTGCTGGGTTTTTTTTGCCTTCCTCTGGATCAAATGTGGGTATAGGATTATATAACTATTTTTTTTTTTTTTTTTTTTTTTTTTTTTTTAAGTTGAACTGGATGGACTTTTGTCTTTTTTTTTTTTTTTTTTCAGCCAGGCTAACTATGTAACTATATATATCATTCTAGTATCAGTTCCAGTATTTGCTGCCCATTCTGTCCAAGTGTAAAACAATGTGAAAGAGGTTGCGCGGCCCCCCTAGAGCATAGGGTTGAGTCACCATTGCGACCCCTGATGTTACACCAGTGCTTGGGGGTGACTGTGTGGTAAAAACACATCTCAACTATGGGGTTTTACCATCTCCAAACCACAAATGTGAACAAGCCTTTACTGTCCTGAGCCCCTCTATAAGGCTGTTTCAATTTACTTGCACCTTTCCTGCAGGTTACCACACCAAATGCGCAGGATATAATAGAGGTCTATGGCTCAGTGCAGCTAACCCGCAAGAAAACCCCAAGTGCACTGTATTCGCGGATCAGTGTGAAACCAGCCTAATGGTTAACCTTTTATAGGAGCAAAAGTGCAATGTGTGTTTAATACACCGACTTTCTTTTCCTCTTCCAGCTTCTGCTGGCATCGTTCTTTGTCTCTAGGCTGCTAGAAAGGTCCCAGGCGGAGCACACTTAATATCACCCCACCCGGGACAGGAACCAGCACTGCAGAGAAAGCATTGGCTTATTTACATCTGCAGTTTGGGGGCAGTAGAACCCCATAGCTGACTTTTGCGGGGGGGGGGGGGCTGTGCTGTGGGGGTGATGTAAAGGAGTGGCAGTGCTGTGGGGAGGGGGCTGATGTGTAGAGGGCAGTGGACACTAATGTGAAGGGGAACTTGATGTGAAGTGGGGGGATTGTGATTTTTGGTTACTGAGGACACTGACATAAGAACAGAATTGTGATATAAAATGAGAGGGCTGTGATGGGAAGGATCTGAGACATCATACAAACGTGCGATTCGAACCTCTGCTAGAAGAAAATTGTACTAAATCGGACCTCCATACATTTTTATTCAATACATCTGCTTTACATACTCAAAGCAGAACTATAACAGACGAGAGGGAGGATTAGGGAAGGATATTGCCCTATTACAAGAGTGAAAAAAAAAAAAAAATTATGTATATGCATACCTACAAACCTAAAAATGTAAACGAAAACACACACAAATATATACTCATTCATCTATATTTTAGTTCTGCTTTAACAGGCTATAAGTGAGTTTTAAAACATGCTCAATACCATGGCAGTCATCATTATTCCCCCAGGTCAACAGAAGAAAAACAAAAAAAAAAAAAAAAAAAAAAAAAAAACCAATGGAGGAATGGCAAGCAAGGCGAGAATAAAGAAAGTCACTTTGCATTGGCAGCAGCTCACCTTACACTGCGACCCCCCTTTCAAGGCGCAGAGTGAGCTGAGCTGACTGAGAAAAGCACTTCAGTGTTTTGGCTTTGAGCAGGTCAGTTGCGATTTACCAATCCAGCATCAATTTCAACCCTGGGTCACAATGCACTGTTGGATGCAGTGTATTACATTTATCAGCATTTATACATTAATTGACTTACCTGGCTTAGGAGATGTGCAGGCCACACACTTGTTATCTTCTGCTTTATTCTGTACACAACATACTGTACATTCCCATGATCCTAACGGCTTTCTGGCTAGTTCCTCAAATTTAAGACTTGGCGATAGTGTAAGGCCACTGTCAGGGGGTGCAACAGGTTTATCTGGCTTTGTTGTAGGAAGAACAAGCAAGGGATCTTTTGCCCCAGTTCCAGGTTTTGGAGATCCACAAGCCACACATTTTGTCTCCTCTGGTTTGTTCTGTACTAAACAGGTATCACAATCCCATGTCCCAGGAGCCACTTTAAACTTGTCCCCAAATCCTAACGTACATTTCAAAGGAGATGTGTTTTTAGAAGGTGTGGTTGTTGCCAAAGTAGTAGACTGCTTTGTGACCTCCATAGCTTGGTCTTTGACGGTACTGCAAGCTATGCATTTATTGTCCGAAGCCTTGTTCTCAAGCAAGCAGCAATCACAATACCATATTCCCAAGGCCTGTTTGCTCTTCTGCCCAAATGTCAAAGGCTTTGGACTGGAAACTGCACTTTTAGCGGGAGACGTTCTGGTTTGCTGAGAACTTGTAGACTGGAAACCTTATGAAAGATAAAATAAACATTTGTCAAAAAAATCAGCATAGCCAATATAAAAAAAATAAAAACAATCACGTTAAACCAACTTTTCTTTGATAAAAGGGAGGAATAACTGGAATTCCTGCTGGACGTTTACAGCTATGTAGGGCATTGGAGAGATCTCTTACTGCCAGACTGACATTGGTAGCAACCAGAAGTAAAAGGATTTTTTTTTTTTTTAAACATGGACACAATAGCCATGGAGAAAAAAAAAAACAAAAACACACTGCGGTTCTACTGTTCCCCCTACTCCGCTAAAAAAAAAAAAAAAAAGAAATTTTGACTCGTGCAAATTACATATCATGGTGTGGAGTACAGAACAGGGCACAGCAAACAGTGACTGTGCTGATGGGAGAATCAAGCGATTTTCAAAAAAACTGCATAATGCATAGCCAGTCTAACTGACACAAGTTAGGCCCAGACAGAGATTGAAGAGCTAGCAAGTTAAGTTACCAGACTCCTAATAGGTGGCTCGCAGTGTATCAGAGGCATAGGCAGCATCAGGTGCAGGGACTGGTGTTCTACAGTGTTCCTGCTCCAGTGTTGGAGAATACCCAACACTCTGACATGGAGAGTCATCTGACGCTCTAGCAGAATGGATTCCACCATTTGCTAAACATGAGGATATTCCAAAGGGTGCCCACAAAGCAGGGTGTGGAATACAGGGCGTGTTTGAAAGGATTACGCGATAACCGAGTTGCAGATAGTCCTGTACCAAAAGTCCTTGTGAAAAAGGGAGAGAGGCGGTGCGTATGTGCCCTCCGATGCCTCCACCATAAGGCTCACAGTAGTGGCAGCAGGTGGTTTGGCACACATTCCTGGTGGCTGCAGTCCCCAGGAGTGCATGTACACTCCAGAAGCCAACTGTTGGCCCCTGGTGTCTTACTAAAAAGCATCTGTCACATAGGGAACTTTTTGTTTGGTATAACATTTTAGCAAAAAGCAAACAGTTACATCCAAGCACCAAAAACCCTCTCCCCGTCCCCCCCCACCAAAATGTTTGAGCCCACACTGACCCCACATGAACACACATATGTAAATGTTCCCATTGGGGTTCCCGACTTACAAACATGTTACTTGCCATACATGTTACATATTGCAGCACAAAAGGTTTATAGGGCTTATATTCAGGCTTAAAGTGGTTGTAAACCTAAAAAAAAACACAAATCAATCTAATCCTACAGTTGAATAGATTTTACCTTTACTAAGCATTTGAGCTTAGTTTGGTATCGAAGCAATCCCCTTCTCTAGAAATTCCCCCTGCTCTTCTGAACAGAATAAATCCAACACAAGCAGAAAAATTGTTGCCACTCCCATTCTCCTGTGAGTGACAGGCTGTGCTTGAAGACAAGCATGAGCCTCCATGTAATACACTGCAAATGGGTGGGGTAGTGGGTGTCTTCTCCCTGCTGGTCTCTGCCTTCACAAGATCGAGAAACTCAGCACCAGTGATTTATGACATAGATCGGCATCACTTCAGTAATGCTGCAGTTATCTAGGTACATCTGCTGACAGCTGATTATTGTCCTGCTCTGTTCACAGCACCTAGCTTGTGAACTGCTGTTTACAGAGTTTTACATGAAAATGTTTCCTGGTCCACATTACCACTTTCGGCAGCAGATTTTTAACATTAACCCTTTCCCACCAGCTTTCTCCTGACTAGCACTTTGCTGTAAGCAAAGCTGACACTCACTGGCACCTGTGTATTCCCCTGAATGCACTCAATAGACATGCTTGCAGGCACAGAGATGTCAGATAGCTGTGCATTTCCACCTACTATTCTCCGGTCCTAAGCCATGCCCACAGACCAGCAGTTTTTGGAGGGCTGAGACAAGCTAAGGGAGCATTATTCTGAGGTACACTCACAGCTGTATGTATGTTTATATTAATATGTACTAATTTATGGCAAAAAGTTATTTTTTTTTATATTTGGGTTGACAACCACTTTCGCTATAAACTGATGATCTCCAGGGTCTCTACTTTCAGAAAACATATGTTTGGCCATTTAAAAAAAAAAAAAAAAAAAAAAAAAAAAAAAAAAAAAAAACACCTAATCACGAAGATAAATTAAAATTTCAGAGAAAAAAAATACAGTAAGTATTTTTAGGGCATACAAATGCAGTAAATTACCCATTTTTTTTTGTAGAATATAAAAACGGAGGTGGAGATTAGTAAACGGATACCAAAAATGTCAAACCTTAATATTGTGAAAAACTTTAGTACCCTATATTTTTCATAGGAGCCACTTTAAAAGCCCCTACAAATCATCAGTTTAGGGTTATGCAGGAGCTCAGGCTCTAAAATTATGGTTCTCACTTCAGTGTGTGCAAACATATGTAATATGTATCTCAGTCAATGTTTTTGTCCGTAGGTGCCCCCTTGCATACATTTACATTTGTATGTGTGCATTTGCAAGGTAGCCTTCATCATATTTTTTGGAGGGGAGAGGTGGGGTGTTATGTGCTTGAATGTAACTTACAATTTCTTTTTTTTACTTGACAGAAGAAACCAAAGATGAATAATAAAAACTAGTAGCGATTACTCTACAAGAAAGGAGAAGTCCATCACTTTAGGAAACTAGCAAAAATCTGAGGGTTATAGAGAGGCACCCCAAGGAGCAAGTTCTCAAGAGCTTGCCAACGTCTAACTACCTGAAGGTACAAGCGTATAACTCAGGGTCTATGAACACTTTGCCTGTGTTTTTTACTGTATGATTAAGATATTTACCATTGAGTGTCTGTCAACTGCAGATTTACTCTCCCTTCCCATCAGGTGAAGACATTTTCACCATACCAAGTAGTGAGAAGAATCTCTAATGTATAGCTGGATAGCAGTAAAAAAAATTAAAAGGTTCTAATCCTTTCCCACTGTCTAAAATGTAAAAAAAGCCATTTTGCCTGAATTCTGTAGAACAGATTTTGGGCTGATAAGAAGAGAACCATAGCTTATAAAAAGGGCACCCACCCACTCCACCCACGTGTCTCAGGCTCACCTGTGCTCTTTGGGAGTCCTCAGGGTCTGCAACAGGTTTAGGATGGGTACAAAGTAGTATTGGAGGTCTAAAGCCTGCCATAGAGGGATTGAAGCTTGGCTGGTCAATCCATCTATGGACAGGCTGGTTGTAACAAAGTTGATCCATCGATCGACTTGGGTACAACCAGCCTGTTCAATTATTTACATGCAATTACTGGCAACAGTTATAGCTGCTAACAGTAATCATTGTGTTCCGCTGGCTGGGAAGGCTCTCCACTGGAAGAACACAACAGCACCGATTCATTTTCCCGCACGATTCCCCCATCAATACAGTGTTGATGGGGAAAATTGAGCGAAAATCAACTCCTCTATGGCTTGAACCCTAATGTCCAAATAAAGACAACCTGTTATTTAAAAAAATGATGCGTCATTTAAACTTTACTAATCGCACAGGGGGCTCCTCAGTCCCCTTTGTAATGGTAATCAAGTGAAAAAAAAAAAAAAAAAAAAGTGTAGAAAGCACTTACAAAAACTACGAGGTTTAACCCCCCCCCCCCCCCCCCCACCCCCCCCCCCCCCCCCCCCCCCCCATGCAAACATGCATCCGTAAACGATGACTGCACAACACATACTGGGTATCACTGTGCATATCAGAGTAATAGGAATATTTTTTTGTCAGATACTAGTTCATTGAGAAGTTTGTAGTGTACATAGGAAGACATAATTGAGGCAAAACAGGTTGTGACAAAGTATTAAAATTTCAGTTTATAATACACAGAACCACCATCATGCTCTATACCAACTGTATGCCAAAGTGATAAAAATGCCTCATAGGAGGAACAGAGAAATAAAGCAAAAATAAGGAGAAAGGTGTAAGACGAAATTTCTAGGACTGTCATTTAAGGTCAGATCTACATTTATGTAAACGTTTGATGTAAAGGTTTTTTAAATGTCATGTATAGACAATTTAAAATCACTTTACAGAAAATCCTGCCCCCACACGCAGTCATTCATTGGGAAGAAAGACTAGTGTGCTGCTTTTTCTCCACCCTCACCTCTCTATGCAGCTGAAAACAGAGGGCAATTGATCACTTCTAAAAACAAAACCAAAAAATTATAAATCCCCACCCACCCCCCACCCCTTTTTTTTTTTTTTTTTTTTTTTTTTTTAACGGTTTGGGTTATTTTAGAAGTCTATTTTACATAGTCTTCAAAGCAGGTGCAGGCTGGGGTTTGGTCAGTGACCAAGGTGTATTGCTTAAAGGTAAACCACTAAACAGAAAGGGATCATCACTCTGCTCTCTCCTCTAATAGGTATAGGCAGTGCCGCTACCTGGTATGCGAATGTGCCTACAGCCTCAAAGCTGTATACCTGCAATAACCTAATGAAGCAACACAAAATCTGTAAACATTAGATCTTTTCTAGCCCCAAATGTCTGTGAACACCCAGACAAAATTTTATAAAGAACTTTTTATCAATATACGCAAAGTTTAATTTTTTTGATGATCAAGCTTACCTGGGCTCCGCAGGATATCTAGCACACTTCCTGCCTTTAATGATTGTGCAGGTTTACAAAATGTCACTTGTTCTTCCTCAGCCTTCTTTGTGCTGCTACTATTTATCGTAATAGGTGACTTCACTTTCAATGGGATTTCTAAATTTAAAAAAAAATACATGAAGTTTAATATAGCAAATATTTAGAATTAAAATAATTTAAATTTTCCTGTAAATCCCATATATTGGAGTGCAGTATGAGACACAATCTGAAATTTCATAGACCCTGGGGGTTATAGACTGGTATCAACAGGTGATTGGACACTGGCAAGCTTTTGAGGACACGCCCAAAGACAAACAGAACTGTGCCAACAGGTCCAACAATAAGGGTCAGAAAAACCCAACTTCAGAGTGCCCCTGCAAAAACCCTGCAGAGGAATCTTCAAAATTGGACATCAAACAAACCAAACTTTGAGACAGTATGAACAGAGGACCAGGTGAAGGCCGTACACAGCTGGGCTACAGAGGCCTGGTGCCGAAGGTCCCACGAATCTGTTGGAGTGGGCAGGGGTATTTTGATGTTGAATCTGAAGGCTAGGATGTCTACATCCAGTCTCCATTTCTGAAATTTTAGATTTAAGATATCTGGGTGACGAGCCAACCCCCCCCCCCCCGATGCAGGGAATGGAGGCTGAGGTAGTCCGCTCTCCAGTTGTCCACTTCTGGGATGTGGACCACAGAGATCATTGGTAATTGCAAGTTTCTATCCATGAGAGTATCTTGATTGCTTCTTTCAAGGCTGCAAGACTCCTGGTACCACTTGGTGGTTGATGTAAGTTAGTGTCTTGGCATTATCGGACTGGACCCTGATTGGGTGTTCCCACAGAAGAGGGATCCAGTGTCAGAGACAAGCTGCTCTGAGCTCCAGAATACTGATGGGGAATTGGTCTTCCACAGGTGATACTGTTTCTTGAACCATGAGCGTCTGAAACACTCCTTTGCAGCCTAAAAGACTGGCATCTGTTATTTTCCAGTGATAGGGATAGAAATACTTCTCTCGTTAGGGCTGGGCTTGAAATCTACCAAGATAGAAAATTCCTTGTTTGAATAGGTTGAGAAGGAGCATGCTTGTTCTAGGTGATCTGTCTGGAATGAAATTGGGCAAATGGAACAGCTTCGATGGAGAATACCACAAGGCCTAGACCGCCAATGAAGAATCTCGTTGTTGGGGATGCAACAGCATGTACGATATACAGTATTGTATGTTAATATCACTTGACCAGTAGATGGCACTGTACACTAAGGTTACCAGCTGTGCATATATGTAAACTTGTTGGTTCTCTCTCTCTTCTCTCTCTCTTCATAACCAAGATGTCTGCTGTTACAGATTGCTGAAATGTTTTGTATGTTTGCAACTTAAGCCACACAAGTAAACCAAGTTCTGCCTCATCACAAGCTACTAGTGTCTTCTCTAACACATAACCAATTGTGGGATGTCTCGATCATCTCAAATTTTGAGCATAGGCTCAGAGAAATAACTTTCCTGGAAAGAAACCCTTTCCTTGGTATGTGTGTAGAACCAAACTGAATTATTCCAGGCAGTGAGAAGGTTGAGAGGTTTTTTTTTTCCAAATTGATCATCCAACAGAAAGCCCAAAGTATTTGAATTATCTTGTTAACATTAGCGGACAGTTGGAAGGAAGAGGAATCCTTCAGTAAAAGGTTGTCTAGACAGCTTTGACCTGTATTACTTGAGTTCTGAGAAGGGCAAGAAGAGGCACAAAGACCTTTGTGAACACTCTGGGAGCAGAAGATAGGCCAAAGAGCAGTGCGACAAACAGGAAGTGATTATCTGCTACTGCGAAGTGCAAGTGAAGATGGACAAATGAGAACATGCAAATAGGCATCTTGTTTGTCTACAGATAGCATGTATTCCTCATCTCAGAGAGACAATTACCAACCTTACAGATTCCATGTGAAATTTTGAAATTTGAAGGTATTTGCTGAGGGATGTTAAGTCTAGCATTGGCCGAATACCCCCACTGGGCTTCGTTACCTGAAGTTTGAATAAAATCACTGAACCTGTCCTTTGGGGGTGCTGGCACAACTACTCCATGGGACAAGAAATGGTTCAGGGCATTCTGCATATCCGATTGCCTTTGGGCAGTGTGGTTGATTTGAGAAATCAAAAGGCGAGGGGGTAGAGTTCTGTACCCCTCTGGAAACCATCAATAGAACCCACAGGTGTGGGACATGTGTTTGACCCAGAAAGAAGAAATCTGTAACAGACATCCCCCCTCTATTAGGAGTGAGGGGGCCCCTTCATTGGGAAGTGTGCTTTGGTGAAGCCTTGGTGGGCTTTGTGGCCAAGGCTTAGGTTTCAAACTTTAAGCCTGGGAAAAGGGTTAGGTGCTCTGCATTTTTAAGAAGTAGATGCACCTGACGAGGGGGGTTTTGGGATCTCCACCCAAAAGCTGACGTCACCCCACCATTTCCAATTCAGGACAGCAGCCATACCAGTGAGTTAGACCGATTCTTTGTCAATGCTGGATTCATTTTTAGGGCATTTTTGTGACTAATCTTTCATTTAATAAATACTACACTATATATATATATATATATATATTTTTTTTTTTTTTCAGCTCCGTGCGGTGAGCTATTTTTTATACAGCATCATGCCAAGGTGGTTGCGCCATGGAGGTGAGGAGTGAAAACCACTGTTGACTGCCATAGAGAGATTGGAGTTTATATCATATGCTGTTTCTGCTGCATTTACCTGCAGCTTGTCTGGTGAGTTCAAATTGATAGAGTAGTGGCACCAACGGTTATATCTGCACGTGGTACAGTCACTTTAACAAGGTGGAAGACACCAAAGTATTAAGGCACAGATCACAGACTGAAATTTTGATTGCTTTATTGGTTTATGAGACAAAATACCACCACTGTTTCATATATATAACCTTTTGTTTGTACATGACTGTTTGCATGAGGCTCTGCACCATTCGTTTTATGATTTACACTAAGGGTTTGTATATTTACCTTGTTACTAGCTGCCCGCACACTTGGCTGACTTGCTCTCATAAAGAGTGAATGTTTGCCTGTGGTTTTGCAATGGCACCCTTTCACCTTAAACGCCGACTTCTGTGGGGACGAGATGCCCTGCAAGTGCAACTGTAAATCTTGCTCAAGCTTGGCAAGCTGGGGTCTGTTTTTATCGAATATTGGGAGAAATTATATCTGGGATTCAAGAGCCAAGCTGAAAATCCACCCTACTAGATTTTTGCTTGGTACAATAGAAGTAGTGGAAGATCCATACAAAGGATGTTTGTCCCATGTCTTAAGCAGGTTGAGCTGTTAGGGTCTGGAGTAGAACTGAGAAGAGGAAACCACCTCAAAAAAGAGGTCACCTTGAGGCAAGGACTCTCATGCAGAAGAAAGTCAATGGATGCAAAGTTGATCTGACAGCTGGGATCCTAGAGAATGTTTCTCTGGGGATATCCCAGGTACTCTAGGTGGTGGGGTATCTGAAGTTGAAAGAGCCGAATCGATCTTTAAAATCTTGGAAGACATAACTATTGCTAAGGAGTCTTTTAGCAGTAAGTCATTAATGACATGGATGACCCGAGATCTTAACTGGGCCACCAGCTGAGCTAGCATCTTTGTGAAGGCTCTTGGTTTGAAAAAGTTCAAGAGTGGAGAGCAAGTGTTGGTCTCTCACAGCAAAGCGTAGAAAGATTTGGTATGTGGGAAAAAGAAGATAGACTTGGATCTTGAATGCCCACTAATACCAGAAGTTCCCCTGATCTGAAAGAAGCTAAGAATGATTGTGCAGACCAAATGAGACATTTGAGGACAAACAGATTTTAGTGATTTTGCTTTCAGTGAAGTCCAAAATCGGGTAAATGCCTTTGTTCAGTATTTGGGTCAGAGGATAGCTTTGAGTAAAACCCTTTGACCTTTTCTTCCTCAGGGACTGGTATTACCACTCCTTGGACCCTCCAGCTTTCAGCCTGCACTTCTGTACGAGCTTTCGGTTAGAAAGCTGGAGGAAGAGTGAATGCACTACAAGCACGCTGATCAGCATGCTCTTAGTCCATTAAGAACTACAAACTGGTTGTTTGGAACCAGTATAAAAATAAAGACAGCCATATATTTATTACTTACCAGGACTGCTAAGCATGGATTTAGTATTTTCATGCGGTGAAGATGTCTTTAAAGCTGGTGCTCTAAAAGTGAAACCCACCTATGAACCAAAGAGAGTTTAAAATAAAACATAGAACACGAAAACTGTAGGATTAAAAGGTCTAAATATGATATACAAAAGAGAACTGCAGATGTTCCTTCAATAATTGGGTCAAAAGACAACAAAAAACACAAAGCCTACTGAAAGTGTTACTAAACCCATAACAGTAAAATCAGTCTGTAAATGCAGTAAGGCATGCCTGTTATACCTCACTATGGAACCTAAGGGGTTAATCTTCCGCACTGTGTAAAAATGTTTGATGCTCTCATCTCTGATCCTTCCCTTTTTCTATTGTCTCCAATACATCTCCTGATAGAACAATGGCTTGGAGGCAAGCTGCACATGCTCAGTTTGGTGTGTATTGCTAGAGAGGTTTTTTTTTCTTGGGAGAGGGTTTGTTAATACATTAAAAAAAAAAAAAATTGCCAGTTAACCCCTGGCAAAAATTATCTAATGCCCCCTCCCAGCCATGGAAAAACATTGAAAAATAACAAAAACAACAGCTATGTGTTCCTAGGACAACAGAAACCTGTGTTTTTTGATGAGCCTGTATACCATAAGCAATGAAAGTGAGCACCTAGATGAAGTTAAATTATAGATTATATATTACACACACACTTTGTCCAGTTACTGTTACCTTTTAAAGAAAAAGTCTTATATCAGTCCAAAGGCACATTCATAAATGCAGTATTGTATGTCATATAGAGACTGTAGGGTTAATGTAACTCCAGGTACTAAATATGCTCTAAGCATGCGTATGCACTGAGGACTCACAATATTCAGGCCATTCCCAAGATGTATACCTGTGGGGTAGATATTCTTCAGGTAGTAAACAGATACTTGAAACCCCAAAAGTAGGGTTTGCTCTGTTACAAATTAACCACTTGCCTACTGGGCACTGTCACCCCCTTTCTGCCCAGGCCAATTTTCAGCTTTCAGCGCTGTCCTACTTTGAATGAAAATTGCGCGGTTATCCAACACTGTACTCATATGAAATTTGTATCCTTTTTATTTCACACAAATAGCGCTTTCTTTTGGTGGTATTTAATCGTCACTCAGGGTTTTATTTTTTGCACTATAAACAAAAAAAATTGTGAAAAAAAAAGGTTTTGTTTCGATTATAAAAGTTTGCAAACAGGTAATTATTCTCCTTCACTAATGCGTTGATGAGGCTGCACTGATAGCCACTGATGAGATGGTACTGACAGGTGGCACTGATCATCAGTGCCGATCACTTCTCTGACAATTGCCAGTTATCGGCAGTACTGTCACAGCGTGAGAAAAGTGCAGCCGATAACCGGCAACTGTATTTACCCGATGATCTGCTGTGTCATTGGACACAGCTGATCACGTTGTAAAAAGCCGCTGTGACTGGCCGTTTACCGTATCACGTGTCTGTAGGACACAGCGATCGCCGACGGCGCCAGGTGTATGCCGCTGGGGGCGTGTCCTGGAATGATGTCCCCCTCCCCCCTCGTGTCAGAATGCCCACCCCAGTCCCGCTATAAGTAGCTAATCACCGCCATTACTAAAATAAATAGATTGTAAGCTCCAAGGAGCAGGGCCCTCCTATCCCTCTTGTATTGAACTGTATTGTTGCTGTTTTGTCTCCCGTTATATTGTACAGCGCTGAGCAAACTGTTGGCGTTATATAAATCCTTTATAATAATAATTTTACATACAGTCAGGTCCATAAATATTGGGACATCGACACAATTCTAACATTTTTGGCTCTATACACCACCACAATGGATTTGAAATGAAACGAACAAGATGTGCTTTAACTGCAGACTGTCAGCTTTAATTTGAGGGTATTAACATCCAAATCAGGTGAACGGTGTAGGAATTACAACAGTTTGCATATGTACCTCCCACTTGTTAAGGGACCAAAAGTAATGGGACAGAATAATAATCATAAATCAAACTTTCACTTTTTAACCACTTGAGCTTTTGAGGATTTACCCCCCTTAATGACCAGGCCTTTTTTTGCTGTTTGGCACTGCACTAATTCAAATGATAATTGCGCGGTCATGCAATGCTGTACCCAAACGAAATTTACGTCCTTTTTTTCACACAAATAGAGCTTTCTTTTGATGGTATTTTATCATCTGTGCGCTTTTTATTTTTTTGCGCAATAAACAAAAAAAAACACGAAAATTTTGAAAAACAATATTTTCTACTTTCAGCTATAAAAAAAAATATCGTAAACTCAAAGTTAGTCATAAATTTAAGCCAAAATGTATTCTGCTACATGTTTTTGGTAAAAACAATCTCGTGCATTAGCGGGCAAACTGGCGCTATATGGAAGGGGTGCTAACACATCGGAAGTCACCAGTGACACTAATACAGTGATCAGTAAAAATCTGTTCACTGTAATCAATGACACTAGTGACAGGGCAGTGAAGGGGTTAACTGGGATTACTGGTGTACTGGCGGGCAAACTGGCGCTATCTGGGAGGGGCGCTAACACTACTGGAAGTCGCCAGCGACACTGATACAGTGATCAGTAAAAATCTGTTCACTGATCAATGACACTGGTGACAGGGCAGTGAAGGGTTAACTCGGGAGGGGGGCGATCAAGGGGTTAGACGGGATTACTGGTGTATTAGCGGGAAATCTGGCGCTATCTGGGAGGGGCGCTAACACTATCAGAAGTCGCCAGCGACACTGATACAGTGATCAGTAAAAATCGGTTCACTGATCAGTGACACTGGTGACAGGGCAGTGAAGGGGTTAACTGGGGGGGGGCGATCAGGGGGTTAAATGTGTCCTAGGTGTGTTCTAACTGTGGGTATGTGCTGTTTTACTCACCGTTTGGATGTCTTCTTCTCTGTCTGGAACGGAATGTGTTCAGGCAGAGAAGAATGACATCATATCCTGTCCTGTGTAAATGTCAACACAGGACAGGATAGGACAGGGACCGATCATCTGATTTCAGCCAGACATCACTGGCTGAAATCGAATGATTGATCCCTCCGGGATCAAATGGTGTCACCATTACATACATGCCCACGCCATGACACTACCACCAACCATGCTTCACTGATGAGGTGGTATGCTTAGGATCATGAGCAGTTCCTTTCCTTCTCCATACTCTTCTCTTCCCATCACTCTGGTACAAGTTGATCTTGGTCTCATCTGTCCATAGGATGTTGTTCCAGAACTGTGAAGGCTTTTTTAGATGTCGTTTGGCAAACTCTAATCTGGCCTTCCTGTTTTTGAGGCTCAACAATGGTTTCCATCTTGTGGGGAACCCTCTGTATTCACTCTGGTGAAGTCTTCTCTTGATTGTTGACTTTGACACACATACACCTACCTCCTGGAGAGTGTTCTTGATCTAGCCAACTGTTGTGAAGGGTGTTTTCTTCACCCGGGAAAGAATTCTTCGGTCATCCACCACAGTTGTTTTCCGTGGTCTTCTGGGTCTTTTGGTGTTGCTGAGCTCACCGGTGCGTTCCTTCTTTTTAAGAATGTTCCAAACAGTTGTTTTGGCCACGCCAAATGTTTTTGCTATCTCTCCGATGGGTTTTTTTTTTTTTTTTCCAGCCTAATGATGGCTTGCTTCACTGATAGTGACAGCTCTTTGGATCTCATCTTGAGAGTTGACAGCAACAGATTCCAAATGCAAATAGCACACTTGAAATGAACTCTGGACCTTTTATCTGCTCATTGTAATTGGGATAATGAGGGAATAACACACACCTGGCCATGGAACAGCTGAGAAGCCAATTGTCCCAATACTTTTGGTCCCTTTACAAGTGGGAGGCACATATGCAAACTGTTGTAATTCCTACACCGTTCACCTGATTTGGATGTAAATACCCTCAAATTAAAGCCGACAGTCTGCAGTTAAAGCACATCTTTTTTCGTTTCATTTCAAATCCATTGTGGTGGTGTATAGAGCCAAAAATGTTAGAATTGTGTCGATGTCCCAATATTTATGGACCTGACTGTATACTGTATACTATATATATATATATATATATATATATATATATATATATATATATATATATATATATATATATATACATATATATACACACATATATACACACACACACACATACACACACACACACACATATACATATATACACACACACACATATATATATATATAGCCATTTGCAGACACTATAACTTTCATGTAAACAAATTAAATTTACACATATGGTTTTTTTTTTTTTTTTTTTTTTTTTTAGCAAAGACGTAGCAGAATACATTTTGTCCTAAATCTGTTTTTTTTTTTTTTTTTACTGGACATGTTTAATAGCAAAAAGTAAAAAAAGTGTTCTTTTCTCAAAATTGTCAGTCTTTTTTTCTTTATAGCGCAAAAAATAAGCGCAAAGGCAATCAAATAACAAAGAAAACTCCATTTGTGGGGGAAAAAAAATAAAAAGACAATTTCATTTGGGTGCAGTGTTGCACGACTGCGCAATTGTCACTTAAAGTAATGCAGTGCCGTATCGCAAAAAATGGCCTGGTCAGGAAGGGAGGTAAATCCTCTGGAGGGCAAGTGGTTAAGATGCATTCACACCAGCCCTGCTGGGTACATTTGCCCAATGCATAGCCAAAGCAAACTGATTTATGTTCTACTGCTTCAATTCATATCAACACGCTGCACTTTTAAAACGCTTATGCTTACTGGAGATGTAGTCGGCTCTTCGCTGGAGCTGACAGCTTTCACAACTGGCTTTGAGAAGTTAAAGTCTGGAGCATCAGAAGAAATCGTACACTAGAGAAAAGTAGAAAAACATTAAAATAATGAGTGCAACATCAAAATCAAACAAACATGTTTTTAATGACGTAAAATCAAAGTAAATTACATTTCGTAAGCAGAGGGTTACAAGCTGTATGAAAAATAAGGAAACAATTTGGATTTTTGGTTTAAACCAGAAGCAGATAACTTGATATTCATGACTACTTTGTTTATGCTGCCACCCTCGGGTGAATGGACCCTGGCAAAAAAAAAAAAAAAAAAAAGCAGGAAAAACCAACCCAGGCATAACCCTTCACAGCTGAGCTAAGCCTCAGTGTTGTACCAAGCAATGAGGAACAGACAAGAGAGGAGAGGGTCTCTTGTCCTGTGATGTACGCCAAGAAAAACCTTACACAGGTGAATCAAAAATCCTAATTTCTTAACTGTACTTCACAGGACAAAGAGGACTTCATTGGTTATAACTACTTGGGATGTCCCAACACAGCAACAAGACAAACTGGCCCAAAGCCAGTGGTGGACCTGCCAATTCCTGTGCTCAATGGCAAATGCCAATTGAGCTCTATTGTGCCAGGCAGTGAGCACAGGGTCCACTAGAAGATGTCGGGCCCTCAGGCCGCCCTCACGAAGTCTGTTTCTGATTGTTTGATCAGAGACATTCACACCAGTGGCCTGCTGGAAGTCATTTTGTAGGACTCTGGCAGTGCTCATCCTGTTCCTCCTTGCACAAAGGAGCAGATACCGGTCCTGCTGACGGGCTAAGGACCTTCTACGACCCTGTCCAGCTCTCCTAGAGTAACTGCTTGTTTCCTGGAATCTCCTCCATGCTCTTGAGACTATGCTGGGAGACACAGCAAACCTTCTGGAATGGCACGTATTGATGTGCCATCATGGAGGAGTTGGACTGCCTGAACAACTTCTGTAGGATCCAGGTATCGCATGCTAATCAGCGGCCTCCACCTGTAAAACCATTCCCGTTTTGGGGGTCGTCTCATTGTTGCCCATCTAGTGCATCTGTTAATTTAATGAACACCAAAGCAGCTGAAACTGATTAAAAAACCCCTCTGCTACTTAACTGACCAGATCAATATCCAAACCAGGAGTTTAATTGACTTGATGCTATACTCTGATTAAAAAGTGTTCCTTTAATTATTTTGTGCAGTGTATTTATATTATGCACACAATTTTTTTTATACAAAAATATGCATATTTACAAAACAAAATCTAAAATTACTCACTGGCTTTTCACAAATCTTCACCTCATCACTTGCCTTGAAAAACAAAGAAAAAAAGTTTAGTTTACAAAGCTAACAGGAGGTGGATAGTTATATTTAAAAAAAGGTGTTATTTTCACACAGAGATTTATAAACAAGAGTCCTTGGTGTAAAATTTATTTATTTGGAGTTCACTTGAAACACCTTTTGACTGAAGATCAACTATATATGAGTGGGTTATATAGTGCCATCCATCTACGGGTAAAACACTAGACGTGTACAAGTACAAGCGATGTGCTCCTAAAGTCTCACACCATTTAAAATAAGCTTTGCAAGTGTGAAGGTAAATCAGGTGGGAGACAGACTTGTGAGCCTTTTAACATGACGAATCAGATTTCAGGAGACCGAAGATCTAGTCGATCTAAAAGCCAGGAAACGAGATCTACATTCCAAATCCTTCAAGGCTAACCCACAGCCACAAGGATTCATGAAAGGTCTTTCAACTTAATTCCAGGCAATGATCTGGGTTGAAGCATCATAGGCGGATATGCATATTTCAAGCTGTAAATGTCTTCTGTAGCTACCAGCGCATCTATTTCAACAATCCCAAATCTATGCAACAATTTTTCCCAATTTGGCACTGAGACATAATGTCCACTACTGGGCCCAGATCTGTGAGAAGAGACCACTTCCCTGGATGTAAAACTTTGTCAGCGGACCTTTTCTGCTTGATCATTGTCTGTACCAAGAAAGTAAACTGGGGGTGACCCAAAACGCATCTTTACGAAAAGTAAAATGCAAAAGGAGAGGATTTCAATTTTCTAGCCCCCTAAACTTCCTTGAGGACAAAATTCGTGTTTATTGGCTGCAAGGCCCCATTCACAATAGTGAATGGAGTCAATTGAGTCTCCTGCAGATCATGTGACAACACTGAAGAAATGACACTTCGCTACAATGTAAAGTATTGAGTGTACAGCTTGTATAACAGTGTAAATTTGCTGTCCCCTCAAAACAACACACAGCCATTAAAGTCTAAACAGCTGACAAAAAAGTGAGTACACCCCTAAGTGAAAATGTCCAAATTGGGCCCAAGTAGACATTTTCCCTCCCAGGTGTCATGTGACTCGTTAGTGTTACAAGGTCTCAGATGTGAATGGGAAGCAGGTGTGATAAATTTGGTGTTATTGCTCTCACTCTCTCATACTGGTCACTGGAAGTTCAACATGGCACCTCATAGCAAAGAACTCCCCTAGAATCAAAAAAAAAAAAAAACCCCAAAAAAAACAAAAAAAACGGGATTGCCAAGACCCTAAAACGGAGCTGCAGCACAGTGGCCAAGACCATACAGCAGTTTAACAGGACAGGTTCCACACAGAACAGGCCTCGCACCATGGTCAACCAGATAAGTTGAGTGCATGTGCTCAGCATCATATCCAGAGGTTGTCTTTGGGAAATAGACATATGAGTGCTGCCAGCATTGCTGCAGAGGATGAAGGGGTGGGGGGTCAGCCTGTCAGTGCTCAGACCATACGCTGCACACTGCATCAAATTGGTCTGCATGGCTGTCGTCCCAGAAGGAAGCCTCTTCTAAAGATGATTCACAAGAGAGCACACAAACAGTTTGCTGAAGACAAGCAGACTAAGGACACGGATTACTGGAACCATGTCCTGTGGTCTGATGAGACCAAGATAAACTATATATATTGTAAAGTGCTGAGCAAACTGTCTCGCTATACAAATCCTGTATAATAATAAACTTATTTGGTTCAGGCGGTGTCAAGCGTGCGGGGGCAACTAGGCGAGGAGTACAAAGACAAGTGTGCCTTGCCTACAGTCAAACATGGTGGTGGGAGTGTCATGGTCTGGGGCTGCACAGTTCATTGAGGGAACCATGAATGCCAACATGTATTGTGACATACTGGAGACTGGGCTGCAGGGCAATATTCCAACATGATAACGACTCCAAAACACACCTCCAAGACGACTACTGTCTTGCTAAAGAAGCTGAGGGTAAAGGTGATGGACTGGCCAAGCATGTCTCCAGACCTAAACCCTATTGAGCATCTGTGGGGCATCCACAAATCTAAAGTGGAGGAACGCAAGGTCTCGAATATCCACCAGCACCGTGATGTCATCATGGAGGACTGGAAGAGGACTCCAGTGGAAACCTGTGAAGCTCTGGTGAACTCCATGCCCAAGAGGGTTAAGGCAGTGCTGGAAAAATAATGGTGGCCACACAAAATATTGACACTTTGGGCCCAATTTGGACATTTTCACTTAGGGGTGTACTCACTTTTGTTGCCAGCGGTTTAGACATTAATGGCTGTGTGTTGAGTTATTTTGAGGGGACAGCAAATTTACACTGTTATACAAGCTGTACACTCACTACTTTACATTGTAGCAAAGTGTCATCACTTCAGTGTTGTCACATGAAAATATATAAAAGTATTTACAAAAATGTGAGATGTGAGGGGTGTACTCACTTCTGTGAGATACTGTATCTGTCACAATTTCCTGTCTAGCAGGAGCTGATCATGAACTTTTTTTTTTTTTTAAACTTTACCGCAGAAACGTAGAAATCTAGGCAAATTTTTGTTCCATTTTGGGTAGAATAAGTGTTATAACCCATATCAGTTTTTTGTCACCATCTCTGTGCCATTGAAGAGATTTCCCTCTACTTTCTGTCCCTTAGCCAGACAAGCAATCAGAGGAAATCCATCTAAATTAAAGTGTTACTAAAACCACAACAGTAAAATCAATTTGTATGTACAGCATGCTCGTCATACGCACTGTGGAAACTAGGGAGTTAATCCTCCACATTGTGTAAAAAGGATGTTTGATCCGGTCTTCTCTGATACCCCCTTCCCCAATCCATCTGCTTAAAGAACAGAGCCTTGGGGGCACACTGCACATGCTCAGTTTGGTGTGTATTGCTGGAGTGTTTTTTTTTTTTTTATTGGGAGAGTGCATGTGATCAACACAGGGCCAATAAACACTGTCCACACAGATGTTCTGGGGTTATGCAACCCTCATAGGAAAACTAGGGGAGACTAAAAAACTCTTCATACAAGCTTTAATCAGTGTTTTGCTGGCCACAGATAGAAGTCACAAAACTGCTCTAACTGCTGATGAGAAAAGGTATTTAGCAGTTTTTATTTACTAAAATAATTGCATTTCAATGTTGTGTACTGTGGGAGACCAGATATAGTGAATGCATGGTCCTGGATTAGTAACATTTCAAGGTAATTTCTTGGGGACCCCCAAGTCACCAGAACTAGTGTCTCCATTGGAGACACTATTACTCTATTACTTTTCTGGGGACAACCCAAAATTTGGGATTTTCTTTTACTTTCACTAATAATGTTAAAATGGACAAAGAGGGTGAATCTCTTTAATAGGGGCACAGAACGCAATAAAAACTGACAAGCATTCTAATCCCCTTCCACTCTATCCAAAACTAAAAAATAGGTTTTGCCTTTAGTTACACTTTAAGGTAAAAAATCCTTTAGCCTTTACCAGGCACTTCAAACATTTGCAGGTAAAAGCACAGAAAAAAAAAAAAACTTTTTATAAGTTTACTTGCAGTTTCTTTTTCATAAACCATTTTTAGTTCACTTGAAATATGCATTTGAACTTGCAAAAGGGCAAGTTTGACTTCAAAAGAATCAGTTCTTTATCACAGCCATAGTTCTCTACCCTTCTGCCATGTTATGGCCATCTGCTCTTCTGGGAGTGTCCATACTGTCAGTGCTGGCCGAAGACCTCCACCCCCTCTACATAACGTTTTATGTAGCTACCAAAAGAGGAGCAAAAATCTTTTAAGCTATATGCATGGGTGGCATTCCGATGACCACTGTAAAGGTCTTCTGCTTCTTACTGACTACCAGCAGGAACCAGGTCCTCACTCCTGAAACACTAGGCAGAAATGACTGGCTTGCCCATAGAGTGGGGGTATATACCAGCTAGGACTGCCCATAGGCGGTGCTGTGTTCTTTTTATGCCTAGCATCCTACAAACCCCATCGCCAAGCATTAGAAGAGCTGTGCCTGCCAGAAGAGCGGTGTCTGTCAATGAACATCAGAAAAAAATGCATTCATACACTACTGATCTAGGCTAGATCCTCCTAAGAGCTGCTGCTGGCTCAGCACCTGTATGAACCTAATACATTTTGTTAACACATAAAATGCCAGCACTTTCTAATCTTATAAAAAAAAAAAAAAAAAAAAACACACAAGGGGAAAGCTCCCTACTACCCATTACCAGTCACAACCTTTGATAACTGATTGCTAAGATCTCCTCCAAATCTCACTAGTACTCTAATATCATGTACTATGCCACCAGGCTCTTACTCACACTTTACTATCAGATCTCAATCTTTTACACTGGAAAAGTACTCAGTTATACATCTTGCATAGTTGGACCAGCCATACTCTGAATCTCACACTGCTGACCGCACTCCTCCCATATCCCTTCCACTACTTCTGTAACCAGAGATCTCCGCAGTTTAAAACCACCTTAAACTGGTTCTAAAGGCTCAATGTTTCTTTATTTTCATGCATCCGAGGCATGAAGGTAAAAAAAATCTTTGTGCAGCATCCCCCCCCAAACCCCACCCCAGGATTCCCTCTTCTCATTGGCTGAGACAGAAGCGGGAGCCATTGGCTCCCACTGTTGTCAATCACAGTCAGTGAGCCAATAAGAGAGAGGGGATTGGGCTGAGCTGCGACTCCGTATGTAAATGGACACATGGAGCAGTGGAAGCCCCCATAGCAAACTGCTTGCTGTGGGTGCACACGACAGGAAGGAGGGGCCAGGAGAGCCTATGGGGGACACGAAAAAAAAGGAGGATCCAGGCTGCTCTATGCAAAACCACTGCACACAGCATGTAAGAATAGACTTTTTAAAGAAAAGAAAAAAAAAAAACACCACCTTTAGAATACTTATGTTGCTGCATTTAAGCCTGGGCACCTGACTTCCAAAGCACAAAAGGGTTCAAGAGCCTGAAAAGCCCCAATGAATCCATGGGTTTGAGCAATTCCCAGTCCTCAAAAAAAAAAAAAAAAAAAGGACAATTACCTTATTAGAAACTGCTTGTCTTACAGAAAGTGGCGAAGTCCTCTGTTCGGTGTTCAAACTAAATTTTGGAAGCGCAGTCATGCTTATTGGCAGGGGAATTGCAGGTAGACAGGGAACCTCTACCTCCTACAAAGTGGACAGGATTGTCAAAGTATTGCAGCAATGAAAAACCATTGATTACCCAAAAACATAAAAAGGCTAACTGAAAAGTGTTACCTCCTCTGATGGCTTTGTGGACCCTCGCTCCCTCATCATTTTGCCTCCACCTTTTGTTGAACCAAAGCCATTTGACGCTGGGGTACTGAAGGTGGGGTAAGAAAAACTGTTTGAAAGAATTACAAACTTAAAGATCAGTAACGACCATACACAATTATATTTATATACAGTACATTAACGTATTCAGACCCCCTTCACTTTTTTATGAAGCAGCCTGATACTACAGTTTAAATTCAAATATTTCTCATTAATCTACACTCAGTACCCCATAATAAAGTGAAAAACAGAATTTAAGAAACTTCTGAAATTATTAAAAAGGAAAAAATTAAATATTGGCACAAGTATTCAGACCCTTTGCATTACCACAAAATTTAAATCAGGTGCCTCCCATTTCTCTTGTTTGCTGCAAAGATGTTTTGACTGGAGTTCACCTGTGGCAAATTAAATTGATTGGACATGATTTGGAAAGGCACACACCTCTTCATAAAAAGGCTTCACAGCTGACATGTCATACTGTATCAGAGCAAAAGCCAATCAAGGTGTAGAAATATTTCAGCAACAATCAACAGAAATGGGAGGCACCTAAGCTAAATTTCAAGTGTGGCTGCAAAGGGTCTGAATACCTACACACGTGATATTTCAGTTTTTCCTTTTTATTAAATTCACAGATATTTCTAAAATTCTGTTTTCTGTTTGTCATTATGGAGTGCAGATTATGGAGAAAAAAAAATGAATTTAAAACAACTGTAGTATCAGGCTGCAACATAAATTGAAAAAGTGAAGGGGGGTCTGAATAGTTTATGAATGCAATGCACGTCCATGTACATTTGACTAATCAGCACAAAGGTTTGCCAAAGTAATGAGACAGAGTACTCAAAGAATGCTGGTATAGTAAGTGATAAAGTACCACAGATATTTACAATTAAAAGTCCAAAAGAGCTCACCCACAGACTTTAAGGCAACTCATATGTGTAGTTTAAAGAGAAAAACATAAGATATTTTTTTTTCCCCAAAAACAAAAAATACCACTCAAGCAAGAACAGAAAATGATCAACTAAACAGGGTACTGACCTTGTTTGCTGGGGTATTATATCAGGTTCATGATTTCCTTTCCCCTATTAAAAAGGAGAGAAAAAAAAAAAAAAAAAAAAAAAGACTCGAATATAAATGAAAAAAAAATTACACACACAAATACATACAAAGAGCGTTAATGCGCCTACTTTTACCTATGCCGTTTCTCCATTGCCAAGCATATTGCCCAAGAACAACTTCTGAAACCCCTGTAAATATGCAGGACTTCCTGCCACGTAGGCCATCATTGCAGACGTCTCTTTCTCAAAATACTAGTTAACTGGCAACAATGCTGATTGTTTGGGCTCCATACTTTGAGTCAATGATCCAGAATGAGTATGCTGAATCAAGATTTGACTTCACTGCCTCATTCTGGGCAGCGACTCCAAGTATAGACACTAGAGGCTGCTAGGTGACTAGAAATATTGGCAATATAAGTCTACAATTTTCCCCAAAGGCTCTCTTTAGAGTAGGCCTGTGTTTTGGTCATGATCAGTACTGCCATGTGACCTCCTCCTATTTCTCTGCAGGGGAAAAGAAGCCCTGTGTAAGTACCAAGTCACTCCGAGATTGGCTAACTCAGGCACCTAGCACTCCATGGCTGGAAGGAAAAGTCACATCCTCCCTGTACAAAGTACCAGGTATTTGACTTTGTTTCAAGTGGTGGACAGGCATTTAACTGAACTTGTTGCATTGCTCTGCATGGGCAAACCACTGGTTCACTTTAACAACCTGAGTACTAGCTTATAAAGCTCTTTATTACTAGGCTGGGATAGTCTGGCAATTACTCGGTCATACAACACTGTAAACAAATGTTCTAGTTTTTTTTTTTTTAGACCGGTAGAGCTTTTGTTGGTGGTCTTTAACCACTTGCCTACCAGGCACTTTTACTACCTTCTTGCCCAGGCCAATTTTCAGCTTGCACTTTGCATGACAATTACGCGGACATGCAACACTGTACCCATATTAAATTTTTAAATCTTTTTCCACCCAAATAGAGCTTTCTTTTGGTGGTATTTAATCACCACTGGGTGTTTTATTCTTTGCTATACAAACGAAAAAAGACCAAACATTTTGAAAATAAACATTTTTTCTTAGTTTCCATTATAAAATTTTGCAAACATGTCATTTTTTTCTCCTTCACTGATGTGTTTATGAGGCTGCACTGATCGGCCGCACTGATAAGGAGGCGGCAGTGATGGGTACCAATAGGTGGCACTAACTGGCAACACTGCTGGACCCCGACTGGCATTGATGGGCACTGTTGGGGCTGAACTGATAACCAGGGCACTGATCAGTGCCCTGATTAACAGTATACAAGTCTCCTTTCACACTTGCGGTTATTGGCAGTACTTTCCTTATGCTGTAGCTGATAATCGACAAGTGTGTTTACCACTTTATCAGCTGTGTCCAATCACAGATGATCACAGTGTAAACGGCCGCTGTGATTGGCCCTTTACCGTGACATGTGATCAGCTGTGTCTGAAGGATACAGCAACAAGAGAGGGCGGCTGCGTGTCAAATGATGCCCTCCCAGCACTGGACAACCACGCTGTAGCGGTCATTTGGCCATAGCACAGTCAGCAAGTGGTTAATAACCACTGTTCATTTACTATGTACGGTAAATTTTTTTAAAAAAAATGCACTGCATTTCTCGAAGCACTAAAATGCTCACAAAATACAATACAGCAGTCAAAGTGTAGGAATCAGTACTACGTAATACACAAAACTGCTTGTTGGCACCTTGTTGCTTGTTGGTCAGTGTGCCCCACTTTCGCTTGTGGGAGGATCGACGGCAGAGGAGGAAGAAGCATGCTCTCAGATGGAATCACAAGCTGTGTTTACATTTGTGATCTATGGGATTGTCCATCACAACGATCTTAAGGCACAGAGCCACTCAGGAATGCTCTATGCCTTTTGTCTAATAAATTTAATCTAATAACAGCTTGATCACAGACATTTAATAGGCACATCCACCTGAGGACACCCACCTCCCTGTTTTTTTAAACCCCACTCCCCTCCGCCTTCTTCTTTAAAGCCTGTGAATAGGAAACACTCACTTTGTGCTTGTCAGAACTTTGTGTTCTGCAACTGTTTGCATTGCTCTGCATGGATGAAAGGGAAGGCCTGATTTTCCTCAGACTAGAAGATACAGAAATGGACTGCGGTGTAACAAGCTTCTGTACTGGGGGGAGGGATGAATCCACCTAGAGTATATGAAAGACAATGTTTTACGAAATGACTGTTGCTGCTACAACAAGAAAAACAAAGTGTGGCACACCAAAAAACAGATTTTGTTTCAGTTTCACAGTAGAGAAAGAGCACAGTCCTAACAAAAACACAAACCCAACACTCAACCAAACAGCCTGTGTTGGTGTAAGCAGCGGTGCACAGAGACTCCTGTTATCCCAATCATCAATAACAGATCTTAGAGAGTAATATGCAATGCTTTATTAAATCAGGATACAGGGTTGCATGATGTCCTCTACGTTCAAGCATTTCAGCCCCGTAGGGGGCCTTAATTGATAGCCAAGAGAAAAGAATACAACCTGTCTGCTCAAGTCATGTCATAACATGCATCAGTTTTCCATTTAAAAAAACAAAAAAGAAAAAGGAAGATTAAAAAGTTAAAAAGACATGGTCCTCCAGTTCTCATATATCAAACCCAAGAGTCTGCATTCACTAAATTATACTGTTACTGTTGAGAATTTTTTTTTTTTTTTTTATAAAAAATACACTGTTTGAATAAAAAATGCATTTAACATTTTAGAAAATGTGCCTTGAAGATCAAGACTGCCAAACATAGACACACCTCTCGCCAGCCCTCAGATTAGCCTTATGAAAAGACAATTATCCCCTTTCACACTGACATCTGGAGAAACATGCTGTACAGAGCAAGATTCAGGTCACACGTGATCAACTACCATGTGTCTCAAGTACAGAAATGAACAGCTTTAGAGCTATTACAATGAATTTACTACTAGTTTAAAATACAAAGGCCCAAAGCACATTGCCCAAAGCATATTTCCTTCTAAAAAGAAGTGCATTGGATTCAGCAAACATTTAAAACGGCTTTGGGCTGTTTTTTTGAAGCCCATAAAGCATTCTTTTCTTTCAAGGAAGATTCACTGCTTCACTCTACAACAGGGGTAAGCAACCTTTTGAGCATGGTGTGCTGAACATGTTTTCGAAGAAAGTGAGAGTGCCAGTTGTATAAAAATGTCAACTTTACACACTCAATCACTAAAAGGAATTTTTATACAGTAAATGCTGTAAACTATTTAAATAATAGTAAGAAAACCTTGAGCTATCAAGGATGGTAAATGGCAACTTACCCCTTTTCCAGAACACGTATGCTGTGAGGCAAGTATGGTAAGGTTGAAATTAACTGAGGACTTCTGTGAAATGCACAGCTGGAAATGAAGTATGAGGTGTTGGTTGTCACCCTAATAAAGTCTTCTCAGATCAAACCCAATTTCTGCACCTTCAGACCCTAAATCAGCCTTCGTTCCTGCACCTTTACCCTTCAGATGACCCCAGTTCCTGAACTTCAAACCCCAGATCAGCCCCGATTCCTGTATCTTCATACAGTACCTCAGATTAGCCCAATTCCTGCACTTTTACACCCCAGATTAGGCCCAATTCAGGTTTCCTCAGGCGTCAGATCAGCTCCAGTTTCTGCACTTTCATGCACCAGATCAGCTCGTTTCTGCACTTTCATGCACCAAATCAACCCCAATTCCTTCACCTTCACACCACAGAGAAACCCCAATTCCTTTTTCTCCAGGCCTCAGATTAGCCCCAATTCCCTCACCTTTAAGCTTCAGATTAGTTCCAATTCCTGCATGTTCACATCTCAGATCACCCCAATTCCTACAACTCCAGACCTCAGCTCAACTCAAATTCCTGCATCTCCAGACCTCAGATCAGCCACAATTCCTGCACCTTCAAGCCTCAGATCACCCCAATTCCAGAAGTTTAAAGCCTCTGATCACTCTAATTCCCGCACCTTCACATATCAGCTTTCACCAATGCCTGCGCCTTCAACCAGCAGATCACCTCAATGTGTCTGCTTTCACACACCAAATAAGCCTCAAATCCTGCACCTTCACATCTCAAATCAGCCCCAATTCTTGCACCTCCAGGCCTCAGGTCAGCCCCAGTTCCTGCACCTTCACCCCTCACCTCACCCCCAAGGTCTGCACATTCACACCTCAGCTCACCCCAAGCCATCAGCACAGGTAATTACTGACTGCGTGAACAGTCACAAATAGCTCCAGTACCCAGTAACCTGTCATTGTAGTGTACTGTATGGACTTGATGGCTGCAGCTAACTGTTCACTGGTGTCAAAAATAGCAGGAATCAGCAGATTCCTACCACTGCCGTTTGCACCGTGGCTAAATGTCCATGTGAATAAAGCCCAAATTAGTAATTCCCAATAGCTGTTATGTCAGACAAGCCTTTAAAACCCTTCTACCTCCACATTAAATCCTTTTTTGCATTGAGTTACTCAAAAGATTGCTGAGGGAGGCAGTAATACCCATTTGAATATAAACCTCTCTGGCTATATTCCCTCCAAGCTGAGCTAGGCGCATGGATGCTGAGGGAGAGAAAAGTTCAGAGGGAGAGCAGGTACACCAATTTTAACAGCCTGGCAATGAGCTGGCTAAGTCTAAAGGAGTACAGTACCACAGAGGAGGAAAAATACAGAATATAATTAGCCTTTCAAAGTGAGAACAAGCAGCCTGGGGAAACCAACTAGACACAGCTTCAGTGTGAAGAGAGCAACGCAGGATCCAACCTCAGAGGGAATGGAGGCGGGCATGCACCAGCCACGCTGCTTCTTCAGTATGCAGCTGCGGGCCAAGTTTGCGGTTTGAGAGGTGGGTCTCCTAGGACTAGCCTTGGGTGCCGTCCTTGATGCTGTCAAGTGCCACCTCTGGCACTAGTACCTGAAGTTACCTACCCCTGCTCTACAGTGAAGAAGCTGACAGGCTCAGAGAGGCATGCTGACAGAGGCATCGAGGGCTGGATGTGGCCCTGGGGCTGCAATTCGCCCAGGAGATTGTATTGGTATGTCCTCACATTAGATATTTTTGGTAGATCTAAAGTGCTTTCTACAAAGATTAAAACATCTTTGCATCATATCATATATTTGTATCCAACAAAAAAAAAATCATAACCATCCAGTACATGTGTTTTACAGATCTACTATATAAAATTATAAATACTAAAAATTTAAAATTACTTAAATAAAACCATCAAATCTGTACACAGTGTCAACCTGAATATTTCAATAATCAACACTTGTGCATACACCCCAAACCAGTGTTTTATCTATATACATTAAAGTGATTATAAAGCTTTTTTTTTTTTTTTTCTTTTGCAAACAAGCATTGTATACTTACCTGCTCTGTGCAATGATTTTGAAGAGAAAAGCCACAAACCTTTGCTGGAATCCTCTAAGATGCTCTTGGCTTCTCCTCTTCTCTATGTGTCACTATAGGAAACCGCTTCCCATGGTGGAACACATGTGGGCTTGATCCCCAGGCCGGGCTGTATGCGGCAATTTAGGCACAGCATGGCTCAGTCTAATCCTCTGCTCACAGGTTTTGACTGAGAGCAAGAGTCAATGGTGCCCGCTGCACTCAGCCAAGCCTAAGAGAAGGGAGAAGACCTGCTGCAGAGAAAGGCACAGTGGTGGATCGGGAACAGGTTCAATATTTCGGGTTTATATCAGGGGGACCATCTACTGAAAGGTTTTTTCAGTAACTTAATGCAGAGAATGCATTAAGGTAAAAAAAAAAAAAAAAATCAAAAACACCTTTTACCTTTGCTACATTTTAGTCATATATGTGTAATTAAAGTGGCTGTAAAGTGCCCAGTGTTCTATAAACACTGTGGGAAATAAGCGAAAAAGTCCACTCTTGATCACTTCATGCACTGTCTGTAATCCCCTCGTTTGGCAGACCTTCACCCTAGTGTACTTGTATAAGTGCCCTGTTGCCTCATCATCCACATCTTCAGAATTGGATTAAATTTTACGACAACTTATTTTCCCATGCATGTGCAAAGATGATTTATTATGGAAATCTCAAACTGTTCCGTCTTTGCAAATGTGCAGGAAGCCTGCTGTACGTGTGCAGAGCTGTTAAAACGACTCTACTAGGACCCAAAAGATTGGGCAGGGTCCTTCAGTACAGCCAGCACAGAGGACAGCCAGCACAGAGGACAGTAGTCCTAATCTTTACAGGTTTGAATTTGTGTGGAAATTTGACCAATATCCCTTGGACTTCAAATACAACAATAATGCACTCATACCTTCTTTCTTTTAGAAAAACTTTTCTCCTGAAAAACTTCTCTCTGGTGCCTGTAAAAGAAGGCCAAAATTAAAATGAATCTAAAAATTTATAACCAATATTTTTTTCATTTTTGGATAGAATAGAAAAGTATTAATAATCTGTCAGGTTTCTTTGCAGTCTGGTGATCCATTAAATATTTCCATTACTCACTGTCCCAGGGAAAACTTAAACCAGCCAGGAAGTGGTGGGAACTCTCCAACAGCAACACAGACATAAGTAAAACAGGAATTTTTATTTGAAAGCAAATTCCTCATCTTAGAGAACAAAATAGGAGTATTATATGAAAGATACCTTCAGGTGATTAGACACTGGCAAATAAAACTAGCTAGGGCAGCCCCTAATAAGCACTCAAATCCCAGCCCACTATGTGGTACATCAGCTTTTTAGTAAGGAGTGATCAGGATAGGAGGGGTCTGTATCCTGTATAGCAGGGCATGACAAATCCCAGGCGCCAAGTCACCTGGGTTCACACACTGCCTCTCAGACTTAAATGGGAAATGGAGCACCATAGACTTCAATGGGAAATCTCATCCCATAGACTTCAATGTGAAAACTCCTGGCAATAGCAATCCTATGTAGTGGTATGTTCCAGACTTGCAAGTGATCGTGTGTTTCACAAACTTGTACAGAACCCTTTGCATTTTGAGTGCCATTACGAAAAGTGTGTTGATCGCATCTGATCGCATAAATTCTAGCATGTCACACAAATCTGAGTTTGAAAACACATCCGGAATTGCATGTGTGTGAAAACAGGGTGGCTCCATTCACACCTAGGCATTTTGGGATCCTGGCAGAATCACTGCGATTCTGCTTGTGATTGCAAAACACAGGTTCAGGTGCCATTATTTTCAATGGCACCTAAAACATGCTACAGTTTAGCTGCGATTGTCCCGCAGCAAAAGTGCATTGCGTAAAGCTGGTCACCCAAAAGAAGCTCCTGCTCCACGCAATGTGATTTGCTGCAATAGCTGTGCAGTAAAACGTATGACAATTGCAGCAAAACCACACTGTGTTTTAGGTGCTATTGAAAATAATGACAGCTGAATGGCAGTGATTCTGCTGCAATCCAAGAGATCGCCCAGATATAAAAACAGGCTTAACGAAGCAGACACCAAAAGCTTGATTTGACTGCTCAGCAGGCACTAGTGCCGAGTAAAAGAACAAAGGTGTACTGCTCAGGCAAACAATCCAGATCAATCCACAACAGGTGCAGGCTCTGGCTTGCCACCACACACAATGAAATAGGAAGAAGGGTCAGCTACACACCAGAGGATAGATGAACATAGTGTGTATTTATTAATCGATAGGACACACAACACCAGGACATGAATACAGGACCTGTTAACGCGTTGCATGGGATCTCGTGGTTAATCATAACAAAGAAAACAAAAGTGATTTCTTATATAGGTATTTTTTTTAATGAAGAACACCTGTCCTAACCAGCACTCCTGAATCCTGAGGATACGCCTACTAATACATTGTAAACAAAACAAAGAACCATTGTATCAAAAACAGTGATCTCAGAGAACAAGAAAAGGAGGAAAAGAAAAAGGAAAGTGAAGTGGAATAAAACGAGAAACAAAAAGAGAAAAAAAGAATGATTGATAAAAATGAAAAAATTATAAAAATGAAAAATAGAACAAACACAGATAAAAGCGAGTAAATATCCCAAGAAGATATTTTTAAGAAGCCACATTTGTAAATAGACAAAATTTTAAAGATATGCAAAAAAAAGCATTTAAAAAAAAAAAAAGCACATTCTACTTGGGATTTTTTTTTTTTTTTATTTTCAATTTTTTTTTTTTTAATTTTTTTTGGGTTTTTTTTATTTTTTTTATTTTTATTATTTTTATTTTTTTATAATTTCTTTTTTTATTTTATTTTTTTTTTTTTTCCATCAAATTTATTTTATTTTTTTTTTTTTTATTTAATTTGTGTTATTAATTTATTTTATTTTTATTTTTTTTTTTATTTTGTTTTTATTTTTTATTTATTTTTTTTTTATTTTTTTTTTGTTATTTTTTTTTATTTTTTTTATTTATTTTATTTTTTCTGGGCAATTTTCATGTTTTTTATTTGTATTTATATTTTTTTTGTTTTATTTTTTTTTTTTTTTATTTTTTTTTTTTTGCTTTTTATTTTATTTTTTTATTATTTTTTTTTGTTTTTTATTTTATTATTTTTATATTTTTTTAAATTTTTTGTGATTTTTTTTTTTATTTCATTATTTAATTTTTTTTAATATTTTATTTTATTATTTTTTTTTTATTTAATTTTTTATAATTATTTGTTTATATTTATTTTTTTTATTTATATAATATTTTTTTTTTATTTTTTTTTTTTTTTTTTATTTATTTTTTTTTTATTTAGCCAATTTTTTTTTTAATTTTATTTTATTATTTTTAGATTTTTTTTTATTTTTTTCTATTTTTTTTTTTTTTTTTTTTTATTTTTTTTTTTATTTTTTTTTTTTTTTTTTTTATATTTTTTTATTTGATTAAATATTTATTTTTTATTTTTTATTTTTTTATATGTTTTTTTTTTTTTTTTTTTTTTTTTTTTTTTTATTTTTTTTATTTTTATTTTTTTTTTTATTTTTTTATTTTTTATTTTATTTTTATTTTTTTTTTATTTATTTTTTTATTTTTTTTGGGGGGTTTTTTATTTTTCTATTTTTATTTTTTCTTATTTTTTTTATTTTATTTTTTTTATTTTTTTTTTTAAATTTTTTAGTTTTTTATTTTTTTTTATATTTTTTTTTTTTTTTTTTTTTTTTATATTTTTTTTATAATTATATTCAGACATTTATTATTTTTTATTTTTTTTTATTTATTTTTATTTTTTTTTTTATTTTTTTTTTTTTTTTTTTTTTTTAATTTTATTTTTTTATTATTTTTTATTTATTTTTTTTATTTTTTTTTATTTGATTTTTACGGTTTATTTTTTTTTTGTTATTTTTTTTTATATTGTTTTTATTTTTTTTTTTTTTGTTTTTTATTTTTATTTATTTTTTTTTATTTTTTTTTTTTTTTTCTTTTTTATTATTTTTTTTTAGTTTTTTTTTTACTTTTTGTTTTTTTGTTTTTTTTTTGTGTATTTTTTTTTTTTTTTTTTATTTTGTTTTTATTTGTGTTTTTTGTATTTATTTTTTTTATTTATTTTAGTTTTTTGTTTTTTTTATGTGTTTTTTTTAATTAGTGGGTTTTTTTTTTTTTTATATTTTTTTTTTTTTTGCATTGTTTTTTTTATTTTAAAATTTTTCATTTTGTTTTTTATTTTTTTTTTTTTTTTTTCTATTTGATGTTTTTAGTTTATTTTTATTTGTTTTTGTTATAATTTTTATTTATTTGTGGGTCAATAAAAAATGTGTGTTGTGTTTATTGTGGGTGTTTGTAAATAAAAATGAAATGTGTTTTTGTTATTTAGTTGTTTGTTTTTTTTTGTGTTTTTATGGTTGCTGTCTTGTTGGATTTTTTTTTTTTTATTTAATTTTTTTTATAATTTTGTTTTTTATATTTTTTTTTTTTTATTGGTTATTTTTTTTGTTACATACATACATATATACATATATTATATAATATTATATATATATATATATATATATGTTTATATATACTAATACAAAATTATATATATATATAATATACATATAAAACAAACTATATAAATATAATAATATAAAAACATATATATATATATACATAAATAAAATACATACAATTAATATATACACATATATATATATAGGATACTAATACAATATATATAAAATATATACATAATATATACAATATTATATAAATAATACATAATATAAAAAAAATATATATATATATACATAAATATAATTTAAATTAAAAACATTTTTATTAAATAACATATATATTCACACATATATATAAATATAAATACACATATATATTGAGGATAGAATAATAATATTATATTATATAATTACACATATATATATAGATTTACAAATATATATATATATATACACTATATATATAGTATATACACATATATATACATATATATATATATATATAATATATATAATATAGTACACATACATACACACACACATCCAACATACACACACATGACATATATCAACACACACACCTATAATAATGCAGAGGTGAAGGGAATCACTAGAGACATGCTCTCTATCAATGATTAAAACTATGTGAATGTCCCATTCATGGTTAACACGAAACCTTGTGGGAAACGTGTATATAGATGGAATATTCCAGAATAGAAGCAACAAATCTATCTGGTAACACTATTTATAAAAATCGGCAAATCCTAGACATAACATACTATCAAAAGAAATTCCTGTTGGACAATTATTGCGCATTCATCGCATTTGTAGTGCCCAACAGGATTTCGACAAAGATTCTTGCTCTATATCAAGCACTTTTTACATATTGAGGGGATATCCCAAATGGATGCTGGATACAGCATACTGTATAGCCAGTTCTAAATGGAGGGGAAGATCTTTCTATTGAATAAAAAAAAACCGAGCAGTGGGAGTGATAGTAAGATAAATGATAATGTCAATCAATCCAGTAAAAGGAATCTTACTTTTTCTACTCCATTCAAGTTTGGAATTCAATGAAATTAAAACCGCATTGCCATCCATTATCTTCCTATCCATTGAGGACCAGACGTGCAAATATACTCAAGAATGGGTTGTTAACGCAGTTTCAAAAGGAGCCCCCCACCTTAGGTAACTGTCTCCCAGCTTCTACAGTCCCACACAAGCTCAAATCCACCATGCGGTTGCATTTCAAAGGCAACTATCGTTGTGGTGCGCTCTTGTCCATGCTGTATACATATTGTGAAGGGCAATAAATTTCAGTCTACTGTTTCACAACAAAGAATATAGTATTGCTTCCTTCTATAACTGTAATACCACCTATGTGATTTATCTGTTCACTTGTAAACTTTGCAATATTCAGTATGTGAGACGCCACAACCAGACGTTTAAGGGATCGTTTTTATGAACATCTATATAGTATAGAAAGACATCTCTCTACTAGTGTGGCCCGCCATTTCAATAATTGTCATGCAGGAGATGTTACGGCAGTACAGGTACAGGTCATTGAAAAAATTGTCCCATAAAAAGAGGTGGTGATACATTTTTGCGGTTGTGCAAAAGGGAGGTATTCTGGATATTCCATCTAAATACACGTGTCCCACAGGGTTTTAAACCATGAATGGGGCGCGCGCGCGTGCGTGCGATATTATGCTTATTGAGTTGTTTATATGATTATCCCTTCATGTTATGTCAATGCTCAGTTTATTGGGATGCACGACATGTTCATTTGGGCATATCATGCACCTTACGTGTGCACATTCATTTGTTTTTTTTTGTTTTGTTTTTTTGTTGTTGTTTTCTTTGTCGTTTTCTTTGTTATGATTAAGCACGCGATCAAATGAAATGCGTTAACAGGTCCTGTATTCAAGTCCTATGGATTAATAAATACACATTATATTCATCTATCCTCCAGTGTGCAGCTGACACTAGTGCTGAGCACCCAAATGCTTCCATGTGCGAAAATAACCTGAAGGAATAAAGCTTTTTTTTTTTCCCCTCACTGGGGCCAGCACCTTATTTACTCGCTCAGCGGATGCACTACTGCCGAGTGTTAAAAAAAAAAAAAAAAAAAAGAGCCCGACACTTCCCTTTTCTTACTAGTACCCAATCAGTGCTCATTACACTGCAAGGTCTCTCCCCTCCCTGCTAGTTCCCGGATGCGGTGCTGGAGACAGGCAAGGAGGACAGTAGGAGATAATCTTTTAATGTTTTTTTTATGTTGTGCTGTTTCAGTTGTCATAGAGCCCCTTTAGATTTTAAAAAGCCCCAGACATTCCTAAAAGTACCTCAGATTTAAATATGGTTTTGTATATAGATATATAGATATATATAGATATATTTTTTTTTTTATCAAGACAAGAAGATTGAGGGGGGCACTGGGGCCAGTCAATTCATAACACATTACACGATAATTATGAATATAACATGCTATGAAAGAACTTATCTTTTAACCACTTCAGCTCTGGAAAATGTAGCCCCTTTCTTGACCAGGCCATTTTTTGCAATACAGAACTGCGTTACTTTGACAATTGCACGGTCATGCAACACGGTACCAGAATGAAATTTATGTCCTTTTTTAAAAGGTTATAGCATCTACAAACTAGGGAACATTATACAGGAACTTTTTTTTTTTAATTTTTATATATACTAGTAATGGCGGCAATCAGCAACTTATAGTGGGACTGAAATATTGCGGCAGACATTTTTACACCGATACTTTGAGGAAAGCAGTGACACTAATACAGTGAGTGATCAGTGCTAAAAAAATATACAGATTACTGTACAGACACTGGCTGGGAAGGGGTTAACAACTAGGGTGATCAAAATTATATGTGTGCCTAGCTACGTGCTTGGTGTACACTAGGTGGTGCTGGTACAAGAGGAAGTGATGGATCCTGTTCCCAGCTCTGCAGGGACACCATCAATAACACCCCCTTGTCACAAAAGAGCTCTGCCTATGTAAACATAGGTGGAGCTCTGTTCTTCCTCCCTGCCTGGTGCCTGCGAAGATCCATTTGTAGTAGTTATTGATACCAACATACAGTTCGGATAGCAAGAAAAAAAAAAAAAAATAAGCAACTGACCATGAAATTAAGTACTTACCAATGGCGAAACAGAAGACACTGACGGTATCCTCTTCGCATCCTTGAACGAAAAAAAAAAGAAAACATAGTTAAAGTGCAAGATGCAACTTGAATAAAGCTTTTGACATAGGAATGTGAGGATAGAGGTTTTTTTTTTAAAAAAAAAAAAAAAAAAAAAACACATCCAAAACCTGTCCTTTCAAAGTGCTTCAAGCTGTGATTTGAAAAACGCGCAATTGCTTGTTCAGGTGCCATTCATTTCAATGGCGCCTGAAAACGGGCATTTTTGCTACGATCTTGGCATGAGTTTCGACACAACAAATGCCCTGCGACTGCGCAAAGAAAAAAAAAATCATGGTACGTGTGACACCCAAAAACAGTCCGAACTTTTTTGGGTGTTGCATGTCCCCGCGACTCCCTATGAATGGCACCTTTCAAATCGTGGCCAGAACCGCGGTGATTCCGCCCGCAATTTGAAATGCCCTAGTGGGAGTGGACCCTTATGTCCCGGTGCTTTGTTTCTGTTGTGTTGTGGCAGGGAATTGATCACATGGAAGCATTCAAGCAGCAGCGCCTATTCAAAAAATAGGACTGTGAAAGACAAGAACACTCCTCCCCATCCTGAAAAAGTGGCTTCGGTTATTTCCTTCCTTATCACTGGAAAGTAAGTACTCCACATTAATGGATGAGATGGAATCCATCAGGCTAGGGAATTCTGTGCTTGGCTGGACAGGAGCATGGGTAGGTTGAGAAAAGGAGTCTGCATGTTTCAGGTCATCCAGGATTTTAGGTGCAGAATAGGATAAATACCCCTGTTGGGCTTTGGTATTGTGAAGAGTTTTAAACAGAATCCTTTGATCCCATCCTGAATGGGTTTTGGCACAACTACTCTCTGGAACAAGAGATGATTAGGGCATTTTGGGAATCCAACTGTCCTTGGGGCGCTTTCGCTTGATTTGAGAGAAGAAATGGGTGAGGAGGCAGAGTCTGAACTCGATTGTGAACCCCCTTTGAAACTGATAGAACCCACAGGCCTGGAGAAAAAAGAAAGGCAAAACTGTAACAGTTGACACCCCTCTCCCCAAACCCTCCCCTCCACACCCCCAGGTGCGATCAACCCTTCACTGGGAAGAGGGCTTTGGGGGAAGACATGGTGGGTTTTGTGGGCCAAGTTTTAAAATGAAAGGAAGGGCTGAACTTAGGCTTTGGAGTTGAAGCCTGGATACAGCATTGAGGTGAACTGCATTTGGAGATGATAAAGGATTCAGAGGAATGCTCTTATTGCTGTGGAGACACAATCTTCCTTCCAATGACATCAGTTATTAAATCTGTCAAGTGCCTCAAAGAGACATCCTACTTCAAAGAGGATGTGGGTGAGTTATTTTTTACAGGCAGTTAAAGCTAACTGGGATTTGAATAACATGATTCTGCACAGTTAAATAGAACGAGAAAGGCCTTATAAAATTAGCAAGTCTCTTAGTACCAAAAGGGGCATGTCTAGATAGCAGAGATTAAAGTGTGACAATGTCAAGAATTTTGAGGACAGCAGAAGTGAGCATATCCACACTGATCAGAACTTTCCATGAAGCTGCAACAGCAGGTGAGAAAGCTGGGGTGAGAAATGTTGCATGACATCCCCTAACACCACATATGGGTCCTCTTCATTCCCTTCTGTAGGTGAGGAATATCGAGATCCAACTCAAGTAGAAAACTGTGGAGCTGGAGAAGGAGCCTAGCATTTCTGAGCTCGAGACAAGGATGGCTATATTAAAGCCTTTAGTTGTCTAAAGAATTGTGTCATAGCCACAAAAAAGTCTGTCTTAGTTCAGTAGGCCGCCTGTGCGACTGACAGAGCTAGAATTGGGTGCAGAGACTAGTGCTGAAAAAGGAAAAAAAAAAAAAAAAAAAACCCAGGCCCTGCTCAGATGCAATGGAAGGCTTGTCACTATGAGACAGGGTTGTGCAAGGCTTCCGCAGAGTAAGTGTTTGCCAGGACATTTGCCATGGATTCCACCAATGGTACAGATGAAAGTAAACACCTGTGGGAGTAGTCATGGACTAGGGTGCAGAGATTGCTAAAGTGTCCCTGAGAAGGTATATGCAGTAATCAAAATGCAGACCATCCTGTAATGAAGTTCTTGTGGCAAAAGGGGGGTTAGCAATTATCTGAGCACCTTATAAAGGGCTCTAAGCAGAAAAGGTGGTAAAATGGGCAACCTGTTATCCACCTGAGACTAAGCAAAGTAGCTGAATCTTAGTATCAAGTCTGAAAAGTAAATACATTCCAAAATGGAGAACATACAGGAAAAACATTCCATGAAAAAGTATAACTTCTTGATTGAAATGTTTAATGAAAAACTATGAAACTGGTTAATATTGTTATGATGCACTGTATTGCATGCCTTACAACTTCTTTTTTGGCTACGTGTTTAAAGCACTAAAAAACAAACCAAAAAAAAAAAAAAAACAAAACCAGGAAAGAAAAAAAGAGAAAGAATTATGTAGTTAGGAAAAAAATTAGGGTACTCACAGCCAATGGGCTTGACATTTTCTCCAAGGATTGCAGTATGCGACGTGCAGCTAGACTTGTTACGCCATATGTAACATGGGCAGGTTTTGCCACAACTTGTTTTTTCACTGGTACCTACAAAAAGATATTAAATTAGAAAAAACACTTTTTTATACTTGATTGTTAAAAAAAAAAACAAAAACAAACAGAAAAAAAAAACAGTGATTTTAATTCAGATCTACAAGCAACAGAAAGTTCTATGCATAAACATGCAGCACCTACTGGGCAAATCGGGCATTGATTTTTCCAGGCATCAGTTACCCCATCTGTGTAGTGTTAGAGCTTGATCACACTTGACTTCTTCGCAAATGCACCTATAGCGTGACAGGAATTTGGGGAGTGTTTTTAATGGTATTAATGCCCCACAAACGCCTGCCAGGCGATTGAGGAGCATCGCCATAGACTTGAATGGGAGGCGCTGAAAGGCTTCAACTCCTCCTGACTTGACATGAGGCATCAATTTTGCGGCGACACTAACCCTTCTGTGTGAACAGCACTGTGTGCTGCCATGTCTAAAATTTGCATGGACGTTTGAGGAGCGTTAAAAACACCCCTCAGAAGCCTGCAAAACACCTACTTACAAAGCAAGTGTGAACTGAGCCTTACACTTGCCAAACCTAAGCTTAAAAAATGGAACCTGTGTAAAGAGAGAAATACACCTACTTCTAAGCTTGAATTTTTTGCAAAGTCATACTAATGGATAGCTCCGTGACATTTGTAAACTACTGTACTTTGTGAATCAGCTAGTTCAAATACAGTTCTTGAATTTAACAAGAAAAAGCCTGTAGTTATTCAGACATATTGCCAACATTGTACACAGTGTACATTCCAGCTTTAAAATTGAAAAAGTACACCATGCTATCAAGACACACCATGCCAGCACATCAACAAGCAGACAACGTGTGTATCTTAGATCATGACGTGCAGGATCATTTGTATGTGTTTACAAACACGTAGAACTTATTTACTCTAGAAATGCTCTCTGAAGAGTGATCCACATTTGGATCCCCCTTCAGTGACCATTTGACAGGCAGTGAGGTTGGGTTGTTTTGCCTCAACTCCTCATGGGCCAAATTTTGTGGGCAATACTGTTCGCCAAATGTGACGGGGTGTAGTTCCTGCCGCTGTTATTAAGCAAATCACAGCCATGTCAAATGCACAGCTGCTATAAAAATAAATATTAAACAAAGTTCCATGAAAGTATCTTACAACACCACTGTGCAATGTGTATAAGATAAATCTCTCTTCTTCAGTGCCAGAGGAGCTGGAGGAAGACCACAGAGGGTGCACATTAAGTCTGTTCACATGTTCAGCACATAACAACCTATTGAGGTCATAAAGTGAGTGGAGCAGGTTTTTTCACCTACTGGTGATGGCACGGTTGGCACTGAAGAAGAGAAGATTTATCTTATACACATTGCATAGTGGTGTTATGAGAGACTTTTTCATGGGACCTTATGGTTTAATCTATATTTTTATATGAGATATTAGTCTGTTGCGCCACACTTTGTTCTTCATTTTGGTACAGGTGTTGTGAAGTCACTAAGTGTTTTAGCAGCAACTATTTAGAGCACTATCATTATTTTAGGGTGTGTTGTGCTGAATGAATAGGGGTATAGAAGTGCACACCTCCAGTTACTGCCTTTGCACCAAAATGGGGACCCATTGGGAAGCTCAACCATGTGGTTTTACCTCCACTAACCACTACTGTAAAGGAGCCATTAGGGAAACATTTAAAACACAGCCACACAAGAGGTGCCAATAGTTTTATAAGAATCTTCCCATTTACCACTCACACACCTCTCGTAAAAGGCAGTGGAAATGCACCTCCTAACAAACAAGGGACAAGCAATCAAGGGTCCTTTAGACTTCAGGCTCCATTTACACTTGTGAATGGTTAAGTTTTTGATTACCAGCCGGAAACTCAACAGGGTTAATGGGCAGATCTGCAATTTTTGTTTTTTTTTTTAGTAAATACACCACAAAGCATATAAAAATCTACTCCAACAAAAGACAGGAAAAGTAAAAGCCACATTTACCCGATATGGAGTGCTGCGGACCTTGGACTGACAAGCTGCAGCTGCACCTCCGTAAGTTGTCTTGCCTGGATAAAAGGGGGAATCTCCAAGTCGACTTGAATTCTTGTCAAGAAAGAGGTAAAATGATAAATTAAATAAACACGACAGCTCGTAAACATTATAAAAAGATACGCAACACTCAAAATAGCATTACTACAGTAAAAACTAAGCTAACAAAAACAAATGAAAGCCAGTGCTTCAGACACCTTCCCAACTAATTATGGAAAGTATAAAATTTCAACTAGAGATCTGCAGGTTTTATTACTTCAGGCTAGATTTGTGTGGGTGGTTCCCGCAGCTGCAACCACCCACAAAAAGTAATTAGCCAAAAAACAGCAATGTGGATATGTCAACATACAAATGGGTACAAAGGCTTTCTGCCCATTCATAAAAGCTGTGCTATCATTTACCACAATGAACAGCACTCATTTTTATGAATGGAGGTAGCGGACCTTTCATTCATTCATCCACCCCTGCTACATTCACAGAGCACACTTTTGGCAAGTGCATGTGAAAGATCCAGTAACTCATTAACCCTCACTGGAACATGACTGCTGGGGGGTGGGGGGTTGGGAGATAAAGCAGACTGCGTGTTTCTAAACCCCAAACTGTAAGATCAGTCTGTATATGCAGCAAAATGCTTGTTACACTCACTGGGGAACCTAGGAGGTTAATCCTCCACATGGTGTAGAAAAGGCTGTTTGCCCCAGTCTTCTCCAATCCTCCCCTTCTACTGTCCCCAATCCATCTGCTAATAGTATAGAGTAATAGGAGGAACTCTGCACATACTCAGTGTATTGCTAGAGGTTTTTTTTGGGGAAAGTGCATGTGATCAGCACAGGGTCAATCAGCACTGTCCAAACAGAGGGTCACGCAGACTCATAGGACAGCCAGAGGAGAATGAAAACTCCACTACAAACTTTAACCAGTGCTCTACTGAACACTGAAAAAAGTCGTCACAAGACTGTTATACACTGCTGATGAGAAAAGGTATTGAGCAGTTTATATTTAATAAAATAATTGCATTTCCATGTTCTGTATACTGTGGGAGACCAGATAAAGTGAATGCAGGGACATGGGTTTAGCAACACTTTAATGGAAAGAATGCATTAAGGTGTAAAAAAAAAAAAAAAAAGAAAAAAAAAAAAAAAAAAAAAAAGAGAAAACCTAGCTTTACAACCAATTTGAACCTTGAGTAAATCCTCTAAAAGGCAAGAGCCTAAGCAACAAATAATCACAGATTAACAAAATCCCAGACCATTTCCCCAGGCCTTTCAGAGCTGCAAACAATAGATTTTAAACAAACGTTTAACCATTAGCCGCCCGGCCAATGGCCGTTTGGCGGCTTCAAAAGTGTCTCTGCACTCCGGCTGCACGCCATTTGGCATGCTCCCGCACATGCGCCGTTTGCGCTAATGCAGAGCGGCGCAGCAGTGCGATCTGTCACCGGCCGTACACCTCGGACACGGGCGATGACAGATCCGAGTACCGGCTCCCATTGCTGGTACCATGTGACCTGCTGTGACCAATCACAGCAGGTCACATGACAGTTGTATACAATGGATGGCTTCATTCATGATGCCATCCATTGTATACTAGTGCCTAGCTGTGAATGGTCACAGCTAATCACATGCACGTCATGTGATTAGCTGTGACCAAATCACAGCTAAGCACAGAAAAAAAAAAAAAAAAAAAAAAAAAAAAAAAAAAAAAGCTGAATGAATCGATTTCATTCAGGTAAATGCTTGCTTATAGCAAAGTAATTCTTTGCTAAAAGCAAATTGTGTAAAAAAAAAAAAAAAAAAAAAATACTGATCACTTCCCCAAAGTAGTACAATGTTACTATGGTAACATTTTACTACTTTGGTCATAGTAAAATATGAAAAAAAAAAATCTTAAAAAAAAAAAAAAATGTAATAAAAAATTAAATAAAAAAATCTAAAAATTTTTAAAAAATATATATATATATTTTTTTTCCCATACTGTCACCAGTCAGTGTCCCTGTTCACCGCCATGCCAGTTATATGATGACGCTGTACTGCACTGGTGACAGTATGTAAAAAAAAAAAAAAATAGTGAAAATAATTTTTTTAATTTTTTAATTTTCCGAAAAAAAAAATACAACTTCAAAAAAAAACTCGCCATGCCTCTTATGAAGTACGTCGTACTGTCTACTCTGCAAAAAGGGGACATTTGGGGATATCTGTACTATTCTGACATTCTTGGACCTCAAGAAATTAGATTGGCTGTCAGTACTTCAGGATTGATCAATATTCAGATATATACCATAGTTTGTGAACTCTATAACTTTCCTACAAACTAAATAATACATCCTATTTTGGGTTATTTTCACCAAAGACATGTAGTAGAATACATCTCGGCCTAAATTTATGAACAACAATTATTTATTTGTAAACTTTTATAACAGAAACAAAGAAAAATGTGTTTTTGTTTCAAAATTTTTGGTCTTTTTTTGTTAATTTAGCAAAAAATAAAAACCCCAGCGGTGATTAAATACCACCAAAAGAAAGCTCTAGTTGTGTGAAGAAAATGATAAAATTTTAGTTTGGGTACAGTGTTGTATGACCGCGCAATTGTCATTCAAAGTGTGAGAGCGCTGAAACCTGAAAAATGGCCTGGGCAGGAAGGTGTAAAATTGCACGGTATTGAAACGGTTAAATATGGGATACAAAAAGAATAAAAAAAAATACAAATAATGAATTCTGCTTTCTTTTATATCTGTTCATATAAAATCTTTGTTTTATAAAATATTTTAATCTTAGGCGCACCTAGAGATGGGACAGCGTGGGGGGGAAAAAAAACAAAAAAAAAAAAATCTTTCCTGTCGTTTCAAAGCCTTTTTTTCTCTTCCTTTCTCCAAGAAAAATTGGGGGTGGGGGGAAAATGGAGAAAAAAAAATATGTTCTATTACAATGAAAGGTTCTGAGGCTTCATGTAAAGTCTTAGCCACTTCAATCCTGGGCACTTTTACCCCCTGGTAATTTTCAGCTTTCAGCACTCACAGTTTGAATGACAGTTGCGCTGTTATACAACACTGTACCAAAACTATTTATTTTGTTCACACAACTAGAGCTCTCTTTTGGTGGTATTTAATCACCACTGGGTTGTTTAACGAAAAAAGACCAAACATTTTGGAGGAAAAAAAAGAAAAAAAAAAAAAAAAAAAAAAAAAAAAAAAAAGAAGGTTTTGGATCTGGATCAGCATGGTAACAAAATGCATATTGGTAGAAACTTTTAAAATTATTATGAGGAAAATGGGGGGGGGGGGTGCTCATCTGTTCTTATATATAGTTGAAATGTTATCATATACAGTCATTCCATTTTTAATTTAAAAAAAATAGAATTTAAAAAAGTTTAGTTTATTTACTGAATAAGCTGTACTATTATTTCAAGCATAACACTTTTATATACACTGCATTTCATGTTCCCAGTGTAACATGTTCGGTATCTATACAGCAGAACCTCATCTTTCAAGTTTTACCAAACAAAAAGGATAATACATTATCAAAGCCACTAAAGTTAATTTTACAAAACATGTATTGCCAACGTGTGACAAAGAAAATAAATAAACTGCAGCGAATTGTCAGGCCTAAAATGTACCCGTTAAGATTTTCACAAAAATTGCTTTGGCAGCTAGAGTTAAAACCACAAAGCAGGGACCGCAAGGGGAAGGAGTCACTCATCCGAGTCATTCAGCTGCAAGTATAATCCTGAACTTTGGAGTGCTGAACACAGGTTGTCAGTAGCCCTTTAAAGTGGTTGTAAAGGCTCGAGGTTTTTTACCTTCATGCATTCTATGTGACTACCCTTTGGCTTCAAACCAGCATCAATTCTTACACTTGCACAAAGTCAAGGATTTTGTAGGATTGGAGTCAGGTGTAGGATTAACTATTTATACCAAGCAGGTACTAATGATTATCAATTTCATATGCAGGATGAAACAGTCATTAACTGAAACAGACAGCTGTTTAGGAGGCTTAAAACTGGGTGAGGAACAGCCAAACTCTGCTACTAGGGTGAGGTTGTGAAAGACAGTTTCATCTCACAGGTCTTACACCATGGCAAGACTAACCACAGCAACAAGACACAAGGTAGTTACACTGCATCAGCAAGGTCTCTTCCAAAGATTTCAAAGCAGATTGGGGTCACGATGTGCTGTTCAAGCTCTTTTAAAGAAGTGGACAATGTTGAGGAACATAAACTCGGTGCTTGCAAAGGAAAAACTTAATGCAGCAGATGAAAGACATCAAGCTTATTTCCCTTCAACATCAGTAGATGTCTAGAAGTACCATTAGCACAGAACTGGCAGAAACCAATGTGACCAAAATACACCCATCTACTATTCAGAGAGGTCTGTTTAGGTGGTCTTCGTGGAAAAACTGCAGCCAAAAATCCATACTTCCGACATGAAACAAGGCTAAGCGACTCAACTATGCACAAAAACATAGGAACTAGGGTGCAGGAAAATGGCAGAAGGTGATCTGGACTGATGTGTCAAAATATGAAATATTTGGCTGTAGCAGAAGGCAGTTTGTGCACTAAAGGGCTGGAGAGCAGAACAATGAGTCTCTGCAGGTGTCAGTGAAGCACAGTGGAGGTTCCTTGCAAATTTGGAGCTGCATTTCTGCAAATGGAGTTGGAGATTTGGTCTGGATCACTTGAGTACTCGGTGCTCAGAAATACACAGATATTTATCCATCAATGCCATACCATCAGTGAGGTGTGTGACTGGCCCCAAACGTATTCTGCAGCACGACAAGGACCACAAACATACAGCAAATTTCATTCAGAATCATCTTCTGTGTAAAGAACAAGGAGTCCTGGAAGTGATGGTTTGACCCCCACAGAGCCCTGATTTCAACATTGAATCGGCCTGGGATTACATGAAGAGACCGAAGGATATGAGGCAGCCTACATCCACAGAAGATCTGTGGTTAGTTCTCTGAGAAGTTTGGAACAACCTGCCTGCCGAGTTCCTTCAAAAACAGTGTGCAAGTGTACCTAAAAGAACTGATGCAGTTTTGAAGGCAAAGGGCTGTAACACCAAATACTGATTTGATTTCCTCTTCTGTTCATTTACTACTTTGTTAATTTAATTGATCAAAATAAACTATTAACACTTCTATTTCTGAAAGCATTCTTAATATACAGCATTTTTTGACCTCAGTAAAACCTGTGTGTGTATAATATATATATATATATATATATATATATATATATATATATATATATAGAAAATAAATAAATAAAAAAACTATACACACAATATAGCTCTGTAAGTAAGTGATGAGTGAGCGCTGTGACCTCAGGAAGTAGGTTACTGGTCGGATTGGTGGGGGGGTGAGGAAGCGAAGACAAATGAAGCAAATACATCTGAAGATTGGTAAGGTAAACTGTATTACATTTCTTGGGTCGAAATGCACCAACTCCAACAAAACATTTTTAAATTAAAAAGTAAAGTAGTAGTAAAGCACTTACAGGTAAAAATGAGGAAAAGGCTGATGGATTAAATGCAGGTTTCTTCGAATTGAAAGACGAGTTTTGTGAAACATTATGTGTCCGATCAGCTTCAGGAGACCACAGTAATGGAACATTCCCAGTTTTTGTAACAGCAACATCTGAGGGGGGAAAAAAAAAAAAAAAATTATACATTTTTGTTCTTGCCATAAAATTCTTCTGGTTGCATGCTGCTGCCTACATGAGATGTAGACACTAGAAGACAGAAAAACCCCATTGAAAGGCAGCTCCACACCTAGCCATCATGCCTCAGCAAGCAAGCAGAATAGAAGAAAAAATAAAAGTGCGTACAGCGAGCGCTCAGATTATCTAAATGAATAAAATTATAAATATGGAGTATCCAGCAGCAATTGCACCGACATAGGATATCCTAAAAACCCAGTGATGACAAATATAAACAGGTGCAGCGCTTAAAGAAAAAAAAAAAAAAATACAAAACTGATCAAACGAATAAAATTACTATGCATACAGATGTACACAGTGCTGATGATATTGCACAAATATAACATATAAACACACAGTCTTTTTATGCGTGAAAAAGCGTGCAGGCTTGACTCGGGAAGGTCAGCTACATCAAATGGTGAAATCCAACTTCATAGATAATGCATAGATATTCCTTGTGATGTGACTCCGTGCATCAATTTATAAAATGCACACTCACCAGATGCACATAGAATTTGTGCATTAAACCATTAAATCTCTGCGGGCTCCCCTTTAAGTGGATCAGCCAGCCAGGAGTAAGGATCCTTCATCCGGACACCAGCCTCTTGTGCAGCCACGCTTCCTCTGGGGGTCTCCAAGAGCAGTTGGCTCAGAGCCTCCTTGTAGCAGGGTCTGGACGGTGCTGTAGTCGTTAGCCAGGACAGTGCAGTGCAGCGCGGTTCACCCCGGAAGCTGGCCCCAGTATTCGGCCAATTGCTGAACTCGTCGTCCTGAATCACCAATACTGGCTGTGATTGGCTGAGGTTACCTTAACCCCTTCCTGACCAATGTGTTTCCATAGAATACCTATTTTGCCGCCACCCAGGTCCTCTCTGTACAGTGATTGGCTGTCCGCGCACTGAGGTGATAGATCTTCACAGGATACTCATTTTACCGCTACACCGGGTCACCGCCTTCCCCAGGGAGAGTCCCAGAAGAGGCCACCTCCGTGGGAGAGGACAATTGGACGATCCTCGCCGCCATCCAGTAATTTCCGCTCACGGATACCCACATTTATACCCGCACATCAGTCAGGAAGGGGTTAAGGTAATGTCAGCCAATCACAGCCAGTGTTGGTGATTCAGGAGGACAAGTTCAGCAATCGGCCGAATGCTGGGGCCAGCTTCCGGGGTGAACCGCCCTGCACTGCACCGCCCAGACCCTGCTACAAGGAGGCTCTGAGCCAACTGCTCTTGGAGACCCCCAAAGGAAGCGTGGCTGCACAAGAGGCTGGTGTCCGGATGAAGGATCCTTACTCCTGGCTGATCCACTTAAAGGGGAGCCCGCAGAGATTTAATGGTTTAATGCACAAATTATATGTGCATCTGGTGAGTGCGCATTTTATAAATTGATGCACGGAGGCACATCACAAGGAATATCACTATGAATTATCTATGAAGTTGGATTTCACCATTTGATATAGCTGACCTTCCCGAGTCAAGCCTGCACACTTTTTCACGCATAATAAGACTGTGTTTTTTTTATCTTATATTGGTGCAATATCATTAGCACCGTGTACATCTGTAGGCATAGTAATTTTGTTTGATCAGTTTCGTCATTTTTTAGCGCTGCACCTGTTTATATGGACTATTTTGCTTAATATAAACACAGAGGACGCAGGTCCCCTGTCCCTTAATGGACTTTAATAAAAAAACTCTCATGGAAAGTACAAAAATATTTTCTTTATCATTCATTGAGGGACTTAGGAATTGAGGGAATGACCACCTCGAAGGACACAGTACATGCCAGCAGAACCTATGAGCCAAGCAAAAGCAACATGTGGAGTAATAACTACTTGCACAAGAAGAAACCAACAAGAATGATCAAGAAAAGGGAACACTAAAGGTTTTCCAGCCTCAAAACAGATCCTCAAAAAGGAAAAATTGGACAACCGGTCCAAAAAGCAAAATCAGCCAGTCCAAGGATAATAAATGACCTAGAGGTTCCCTTGCCCATCTTGCCTCAAGTCCAGATTCCCAGATACCAAGAAGGAGAATCAAGCAAAGGAGAGGCAATATAAAAGGAGAAAGCCCTCCTAAATGGGAAAGAGAGAGGACTACTGTTCACAGTTATGGAAGCTTATCAGAGGGTGCCGAGTACTTCAGCAAGCAGTTAAGCTGGTCAGCCTTGCTCATTGGCAACCTACAGTTAAACACTAAACATCAGAAAGACTCTAACTGGTGGAATTCAAGAGAATTCTGGCCTTGCTATTCCAAGAAGGCTGTATAAAGCTTGCCATACACAAATCTATTTTCAGATTTATGTTCGTACGAATAACTGTATGCAAATTCCCAGTACAGATAACATTACCTATGGCAGGGGTGTCAAACAAAATTTAAATTGCAGCCCACATTAGCATTCTGGTTGCACTCAAAGGGCCAATTGTATCTAAGTCTGTATAAATCTATCCACTATCATATTAAATAATTGCCTCTGCGTTTGACTCAAGTACACCACCCCCCTTTACATCAGATGTCAAGAACCACCTTACCATCAGAACAGTCCCATACCCTCCCTTATTTCACAGTGCAGGTGCGAAGCTGGAACACAGAAAGTGCAGAGTATAAATGAGGACCGGAAGAGGGCTGAAGTCAGTTGCCAGAGTCTGCTGTATGTTCAGACCAGGGGAGGCAGAAACAAGGGGGTGCTATGGCTGCATAGAGAGACAAAGGATCTGTAGATGTTCTGTTGACCTCTCTGCTGCCAACTGCTGAGACGAACCTTGCCACAGCTGCACGGAAAAGCGCAGGATCTGGTATTAGAATTCTGTCCTCTCTACTGCTAACTGCTGAGACAAGGTGGTGGGGAGAAATGAGGGGGGTGTCACAGCTGCAGGAGAGGTGTGAGAGCCACATGAAACGGCCTGGTGGGCCAGATTGGGCTGACAAGCCTTGTGTTTGGAACATTTGACCTATGGCATTAGAAAAAGGACTTCAAAACTTGTTTCCTTGTACCATTTGATTTTGGAATCAATGTAATTTCCTAAACAGTGTGTGAAGCACTGTATTCAAGTAGGATTAGCCTTACTTCCACTGTATGTTAAGGGGTTTGTTTTAAATACAGCTGCTTACATGCAGTGCCTTGAAAAAGTATTCATAGTCCTTATTTTCCACATTTCGTCATGTTACAACCAAAAACATAAAAATATTTTATTGGGATTTTATTTGTTAGACACAAAGTGGCACATAATTGTGAAGGAGAAGAAAATGATAAATGCTTTTCAAATTTTTGTTTACAAATCTCTGAAAAGTGTGAGCATACATTTGTATTCAGCTCCCTTTACTCTGATACCCCTAACTAAAATCTAGTGGAACCAATTGCCTTCAGAAGTCACCTAATTAATAAATAGTACACCTGTGTGTATTTTAATCTTCGTATAAATACAGCTGTTCTGTGAAGCCCTCACTCAGATGTTTGTTAGAAAACATTAATCAACACATAGCATCATAAAGGCCAAGGAACACACCAGAAAGGTCAGGGATAAAGTTGTGCAGATGTTTAAAGCAGGGTTAGGTTATAAAAAAATATCCCAAGCTTCGAACATCTCACGGAGCACTGTTCAATCCATCATCTGAAAATGGATAGAGTATAGCACAATTGAAAACCTACCAAGATATGGTCGTCCACCTAAACTGACGAGCCAGGCAAGGAGAGCAATAGATCAGAGAGCAATAATCAGGGAAGCAGCCAAAAGGTCCATGGTAACTGGAGGAGCTGCAGAGATCCACAGCTCAGGTGGGAGAATCTGTCCACAGGACAACGTTTAGTCGTGCCCTCCACAAATCTGGCTTTTATGGAAGAGCGGCAAGAAGAGAGCCATTGTTGAAAGAAAGCCATAAGAAGTCCCGTTTGCTGTGTGCCCCACATGGCTTCTCGCAAACATGTGGAAGAAGGTTCTATGGTCAGATGAGACCAACATTTAACTTTCTGGCCTAAATGCAAAACGCTATGCATGGAGGAAAATGAATACTGCACAACACCCTGAACACACAATCCCCACCGTGAGACATGGTGGTGGTGGCAGCATAAAGTTGTGGGAATGCTTTTCTTCAGCATGGACAAGGAAGCTGGCCAGCATTGATGGGAAGATGGATGGAGCCAAGCACAGGGCAACCATAGAAGAAAACCTGTTGGAATCTGCAAAAAAGACTTGAGACTGGGGCGGAGGTTCACCTTCCAGCGGGACAACTACCTAAACATACAGCCAGAGCTACAATGGAATATCTTAGATCAAAGCATAGTCATGTGTTAGAATGGCCCAAAGTCCAGACCTAAATTAAATTGAGAATCTCTGGCAAGACTTGAAAAATTGATGTTCACAGACTGTCACCATCCAATCTGACAGAGCTTGAGCTTTTTGCAAAAAAGAATGGGAAAAAAATGTAACTCTAGATTTGTAAAGCTGGTATGTACATACCCAAAAAGACTTGCAGCTGTAATTGCAGCGAAAGGTGGTTCTGCAAAGTACTGACTCAGGGAGGCTGAATACAAATGCACACCACACTTTTCAAAAATTTTTAAAAAAGTCTGAAAACAATTTATCATTTTCCTTCCACTTCACAATTATGTGCCACTTTGTGTTGGTCTATCACACAAAATCCCAAGGCACTATATATTTTTGCACATTTGTTTATGTTTAATTGGTATAAGTTTGGGAGTATTTGTAGCACAGAATGGGGATACAACACAACCTAAATAGGAATATATTGTTAGCAAGCATTTACATACACTTAAAATAGAAAGAAAGAAATTTCAAAAACATTTTATCTAGGCGTGCCTATTTCTAAATGAGTCTGCAACTAGGATTGTCAAATATCAAGGTTACGTGACACAAATTGGGGCCATAACTTGCTTGAGATTGGCATAGGTGGGATCCTAACCACATTTAAGCAAAATGTCCACTCTTTGTCTGTGGGATCTTTAAGGATTACCCATGTCCCAATGACAGTTAAGTATTTAGAAACCTGAGAAAATGCACCATCAAGTTTGGGCATTTGGGCCCATGGTAAAGCTTTTTCTTACATCAGCCATTCTTTTCTAAAGGAATCAGCGAGCATAAATGGCAGGAAGAATGTGTTTATCCTCCTTAAGGTTCTGATACATGTGTTCATGTAGTGACAGACACTTGACATTCAAGAGGAAAAAAAGTGGCAATCAAGTTGCCTTGTGGAGCTTATCAACATCTCCCAGTCAAGGACCCTTAAAATTCAAAAGCGTAAATCCTTTACCAGCTGATATCTACAAGAGGACACACTGAAAATTCTAGTTAGATATTTGCAAAATAGTCAGTGCAATAACTTACCTTTATCAGATGCCCGAGAAGAAAAACCACTGGTTGTAGAAATATTGTCGTCATCATGCAAAGAGGCAGAGTCCTTAATTTCTTTAACTAGTGAAAACCCAGAAGTAGAAGGCTGGCAATTAAGTGCAGGAGAGTCCAAAATATTAATGTTTAGATTGGCCCGATGTAATGAAGGTCTTGTTAGTACATCAGGAATATTCATCATCATCTGATTTGTGGTTGGGTCTAGAAGGGTGAAAGAAAATATCATGAATATCAACAAACTCCTTTTCCATACATGGTAGCAATTTTTAATTTTTTTTGCATTATCTTATTTTATGCTAAAAAGCATATGAGGACAAAACAGCAGAACAAAGAGTGGTGTCCGTATGACAAATCTTTACTGAACATAAAAACAGCATCTACTTACATTTCAAAATGGATTTTCCTATTTTAACATGTAAGTAGATGCAGTTTTATTTCCAATAAAGCGCTCTGCTGTTTTGTCTTTCCCGTTCTGAAGCTGGCTTCCCAAGATGGCTGTGAAAATGCTGTGCCCGATGTAGGTTGATCAGTTTCCAGTACCACAACCAATCTTCTCTATGTCCTTATCCCCATCACTGTGAGTTTTGGATCCCTTTCTACACTCCATCAGTTCACAAGCTAGTGCTACAGTTTAATAGCTTTTTTTTCCCCTTTCACAAATTATTCTATAATATGAAATGCATCAAATGAAGTAAAATCTAACCAGTTTTAATCAAAATGATAAGACTGCAATAAAAGCAATTATCACCCCTAAACCAGATGTAAATAAAATGGCCAAACCAACTAAATACTTGAAAAGATATTGTTCACTGACAAAAATGCTGTATTGGGTGCAGAGTACTACAAGAACAGGAGCCTTTGCTGCTCCAGCTCTCACAATGAATCAATGGAAAAAAGGCTACATCATGGCAACAGTGGATGTTAACACACTATACACTAGCATTCAACAGGAGGCTGCTCTGGAAGCTGTAAAACTGACCCTAAAAGCAAGCTAAACAAATAAAAAAAAAAAACCAAAACAGTATGTTTATTCTAGATTGGCAACGACAAATAACTTCTTGTATAACAAATACTATTCACAAACTAGGGGCATGGCAATGGGAGCTAAATATGCTCCCAGTGTCACAAACCTTACAATGTCAAAATGGGAGGTAGAATAGATACCGTATTTTCCGGCGTATAAGACGACTTTTCAACACAAGAAAAACTTCTGAAAAGTCGGGGGTCGTCTTATACGCCGGTGTCAGGGCAGCACTTTGAGGGCCGCGGCGACATGGCGACTCCCCCCCTCCTCCTTCAATGGACACTAAGTACAGGGGTGGGCAGAGGGGCTGCTGTACCTTACCTGGCTCCGGTCCCGGTCCCACGACGATCCGGTCCAGGAAGCGCAGCTGCTTTTTCTTTCAGTTCAGCCGCTCGATGGTCGCGTGGCCGCTCGGCTCCTCACCGGTGATTGGGCACCAGCACTGGAAAGGCACACAGGCGACCAATCACCGGCCAGGAGGCGGAGCCGAGCAGCCCCGCAAAAATCTGAAAGAAGGAGCAGCCGCTGCTCTCCCCCACTGACACCAACGATGGGGCACTGTTCCTCCCCCACTGACACCAACGATGAGGCACTATTCCTCCTCCCCACTGACACCAATGATGGGGCACTATTCTCCCCACTGATACCAATGCTGGGGCACTATTCCTTCCACTGATACCAATGATAGGGCACTATTTCTCCCACTGACACCAATGATGGGGCGCAATTCCTGCCACTGATACCAATGCTGGGGCACTATTCCTTCCACTGATACCAATGATGGGGTGCTATTCCTCCCACTGACACCAATGGGGCACTATTCCTCCCACTGACACCAATGATGGGACACTATTCCTCCCACTGACTAATGATGGGGCACTATTCCTCCCACTGACTAATGATGGGGCACTATTCCTCCCACTGACACTAATGATGGGACACTATTCCTCACACACTGACACTAATGATGGGGCACCATCATTGGTGTCAGTGGGAGGAATAGTGCCCCATCATTGGTGTCAGTGGATGAAATAGTGCCCCATCATTGGTGTCAGTGGGAGGAGTAGTGCCTCATCATTGGTATCAGTGGGAGGAATCGTGCCCCATCATTGGTGTCAGTGGGAGGAATAGTGTCCCATCATTGGAATACCATACTGAAATAGCATACCATATTGAAATCAAATCTGATGTTTTTTCATTTTTATTTGGTGTGCGTTGGAAGAGGGGTAGTCTTATACGGCGAGTATAGCTCAAACCCTATATTTTAACAGGAAAAGTAGGGGGTCGTCTTATACGCCCAGTCGTCTTATACGCCGGAAAATACGGTATTTGGAAAACATAGAGGGCCTAGTATTTTATAAATGTTTCATTGATGATGTGGTAATCCGGAAATCACTAAAATATTTCTTGGATGAGATTAATAACAGATATGGCCTATCCCTTTTCAGCAGAATGGAGCAGAGAGAGAGTGTAAACTTCTTGGATCTCACATTGTTTGTGGACAATGAAATGATCTATACAAAAACAAACCCTTTAAAAAAGGAAACTTTTTTTTTTTTACCTACAAACAATTGTTAACACCCAAAATGGGTAGGAAATATTCCAAAAGGGACAGCCGGTTACACAATGAGGTGAAATTGTGAGTTAGAAAAAGATTGTAATTAACCAATTTTCTGATCGTTTTGCCAGGAAGAAATATGAAAAAAAGAAAAACTATGAAAACTAAGAATGAAGCAAATTAAACTGATAAGGATATATTGACTAAAAAGAGAAAGGAAAATTAGGGGACAAAATATGTTTTTTTGATGAAGTTTAGTAGAGGTTACAGGGGCACAGAAAAAAAATTGTTAAACATTGGCCTTAACTGCTAAGATCTATTAAGAAAAAAAAAAAAAAAAAACCCAGGTTCATTTATGGGAAAACCAGAGCACTGAGAAACATTGTAGTAAAAAAATGTAAAATCCACCCAGGAGAGGGAGCACTTTCCTTGGTATACGAGGGTTCTACAGAGCACTGAGAAACATTGTAGTAAAAAAAATGTAAAATCCACCCAGGAGAGGGAGCACTTTCCTTGGTATACGAGGGTTTCTTACAGGCACCAAAGGCAAAAATAGGGATAAAGAGAAAAAAAAACAAAACAAAAAACAGTTAAATAGGACTGATAAGGAAGGAGTATGAGATTAAGTCACTGATATGGTGTAGTAACTCCGATGTGACCAACATACTGAAATGTCCGTGCGGACTCCAGTACGTGGGGAGGACCACTAGGGAACTACATACACATTTAGGGGAGAATATCAGTAGTAAAAAAAAAAAAAAAAAAAAAAAAAAAAAAAAAAGGTACGCCAAACACAGTGTATCCAGGCATTTTAACCCCCTGACACCGACATAACACAAATATGCGGCCTCACAAAACCTGGCTTTTTTCTGAGGGGCCGCATATTTGTGTACCTGTCTTTCTGCTGGGAGCGCGCCGCACAGCGTGCTCCCAGCACAAAGACCAGGGTTTCACCGAGAGCCCTGGGTGCCGTTCTAACGATCGGGACCTGGAACTCCCAATCCCGGGTCACATGATCGCTGTGATAACCTCTGATTGGCTATCACAGTGATCCGTCACTGTTTAGCCTGCCTCCCTTGTCCCTCTCCCCCACTATAAATGGAGGAGAGATACATTGTATTTCTATAACTCCTGGCATAGAGGGGGGAAAAAAATGTAAAAAAATATATAAATATTAAAAAATAAAATAAAGGAAAAATACCTAGATTAAGGTTTGATCTAGTTCAGTGCCAGGGTAAGTGTTTGGGTCAGGTTCAAGAGGTCAGGATTTTTTTTTTTTTTAATTGGTATCCGTTTCAGGTAAAAAAAATAAAATAAAAATGCGTACTATTGTTTTTGGGCTGTACAACGGGCACACACAGCAAATAACATACACATATATTGGTATTGCTATGATCATAAAGAGCTGGAAAATTTATTTTGGGTTGTTCTTTGGTGGTAGGTTATGGCAGTAATCAGAAACACAGCTAAAATTAAAAATATATATTTATTTTTTTACTATTTTTGGGCCAGTTTTCCTTTGATAATAAAACCAAAAAAATCAAGGAGATATCCACTACCATTTACCACTAAATGAAAGCCCAATTTGTCCTGAAAAAAACAAGGCATAATTCACCTGGATGTACAAAGTAGTTGTGATGATATGTACGATTTTGCTAAAACATGTCAACGTTGCAAAATTGTGCTTAGACATTAAGATTTGTTTTACCCTTAGGCATGAAGGGGTTAAAGAAGATCATAAAAATTGTAATGAGTCAACATTTTATGGTATTGATCGGGTTGAAGGCCATTGGAGAAGGCAGGATAAGAAAAAACAAGTGTCAATACAAAACTAAATGGGATTTACAATCTAGACACTGGTACCTTTGGTTTCAATAACAATTTAGACCTCAACAGCTTTATTGCTATTTTTTTATATTTATCGTTCTTGATTAAAAAGGTTGTATAAATTGTGCATTAACTATTCGTTTTTTATACAATATGAGTTTCTGGGTAATATCTGCCCCCCCAAACACATAACCAGATGCTGAAGGATAATTCTATTTGGGAGATCTGACTTTCACTTTAGGAGGTGTATTGTGAGCAGATTTATAGCTTTGTGCCATGTGGCAGGAGCCCATTATAACATATTAAGCCCACACACCTATGGATATTGGTTATCGATCCATGATTGTACATAACATTCTTAGTACTTTAAATAATCTTTTAGCACTTTGTCATTGGGGTAGGCAACTACTCGTGCGTTAGCGAGTAATAGAATTGCATAATGGCTGCCAATATAAAATACAATGAGAAAATGTGGTATTGATAAAAATTAAGTGTGGAGATGGGTTAACCTTGTAACAAAAGTACAGCAGAAGAGTTATTTTCTGTTACACACCTTAAAGATGCTAGCACGATGAAACACCACGTGGGGGGGGGGGGGGGGCCCACACAGGAGGGGATGTCATCCCGCTACATACTCCTGAAGTTGATGAGTACCTGCAGGGTAAGCAAGGCTTGTGCTGTGGATAGATTTGCGAGATGGCGGAGCTGGTGCTTTAATATGATTAAGTGCAGTTTTCCTAGGGCAAGGTTATACACCTACAAATGTGACTGAGCAATACATGTTTTTAACAG